GTACTAACCAAGAAACCTTGAACACTCCTGCCAAAATCATCGGGATCGTCAGAAAGTGAATGAGATTACAAACGCCATCGAACATTTGACCTGCCTAGTTTTATATTGGTCTCATACTAATTCTAAATTGTTTTGTCCAGCGAGTTGTGGAAAATTAAGTAAAGGATAAATTAGATCTCAGGAGCCATGACCAGTTATCATTTATCGCTTAAGAGGTCGAATAATTTTACTTATTTAGTTAATTTTTTGTGGGAGGGGATCACATGGTCTTCAGGGATACAGAAGGGAATCATTCATCACAAGAGACTATACACGCTCTTAGCCATCGCCAACGGTGTATAAAGCAAGGACTATTGAAAATTGACTGTCTACAAGGGTGGGGGGGGGAGGGGGGACGGGGGTCATTAGAATATACACAGCCTAAGGGGAGGTATCCTAAGGGGAGGTATCAGGGAAATTTTATTGTGACGCGACCAAAATCCTTCAGAAGTTAGAGTACTTTTCCCTGGCGTATTCAAGAGATTTTCAGTTTCCTCCGTTTCAAACTTAAAATGCTAACTTCAAAACAGGATATATATCATTATTGATATATTTCATTGGAATCTATTTGTTAATAGATCAAGGTAAATGAGTCCTTCTCATTTTGTCTTATATTAAAACTTAGCGGAAATGAAAGCAAAATAGAGTCTAACACAAACTTCTCTCCCTATAAACATGTACGGGTAACGGTCTCTTTTCATGGCCGGTTCAAATAAATGCATTCTACGCGCACTTTTTAGAAATACAGATCTGACCCGTTAACAAATGGCAATTTTCTTTAGAATCACGCTCTTCTCAAACACGCTCTGTAAAAGTCAGCGATTGGTCGAGGCCATTCTGAAGGTTAGCCACTCTTTCGAAAACTGTCCATCATCTGATTAAAAACATGTCTGTCTACAACTACATAATAAGCCTTTGAATGTGTGAGGTCAAGGTAAATTTACACGATTCTCAGAAATCTTGCATATCGAATATGCCAAAGACAACTCTCATGTAATTGGTCAATGTTAATAGCATTTCTATCGCACGACTACTTTGTAATTTGGTTTACGCTTGTTTGATGCATGAAACGAAAGCCTTATCAAGCCTTTAATCATGGATATCAAAACGTTGCTCGCCAATCTTCATGAAGAAGTATCCTGCTCTGTGTGTATGGTCACATTTACTGAACCAAAGCAGCTTCCATGTTTGCACAGCTTTTGCCTCCACTGTTTAGCAGGAATCCAAAGAAACAGCGGCCGCCATGATGTTATAACATGTCCTGAGTGTCGAAGGGAGAGTCAAGTCCCTGGAGGAAATCTTAAAGATCTGCCCACAAACTTTCGCATCAACAGCTTACTAGATGTGTTGGCCATAAGGGACTGCAGTTCTACTGGAGTCAAATGCGGAAACTGCGACAAACGAAGAGTAGAAAGTTTCTACTGTTTTCAGTGCTGCGCGTTCTGGTGTGACGAGTGTATCACTGGCCACAACATTATACGAGCAAATAAAGAACACCGAGTTCTTGCACTGAACGATTTTGAAGATCAAGACATCGAGGATGTCTTAAAACGACCAGCATTTTGCCCACGACCGGGCCACGAAAAGAAAGAATTGGAATTCTTCTGTAAGAAATGTGAACAAGCCATTTGCAGTTCTTGTGTTGCAACCACTCACGATGGACATGTTAAGATATTACTGGAAGAAGCGGCAAATGAAAAGAAATTGCAAATCCTGTCTGAGACTGAATCCAGAAAAGCAAAAGTGCAAAGAATGAGAAACAAAATATCTAAACTTGACGAAACCTGTGATAAAATCCAAGCCCAAGTCGCAAAAGTAAAAAGAAGCGCGCAACAGTTTGCCGAAAGCATGATTGCTGTCATCGAAGCCAAGAAACAGGAAATCTTTTCTGAAGCGGATCATGAGGCACAACTGTACCTGGAACGTTTGCGAATACAAAGGATCGAGATTGAAAACAAAGTAAAAATGTTCGAAACAGCTGTAGGAAAATCTGAAACACTATTACAACGGAGCACAAACGCAGAGCTTGCACAGTTCGATGACTCACAAAACACAACACTCTTGAAAGGAGTTGATGATGAGAGAGAAGAAGTCGACTGTAACCTTGAATATTTAAGTGAACTTATTTTCGAGGAAAACGAAGCTTTGAAAACAAAAGCAATCCACGAGGGAATCGGCTCCATTAGAGCGTTTCTCAGCAAGACCAGAGCGGATCAAGCAACTGCTGAAGGAGAAGGACTCACTGAGGCGATCGTTGGAATTCAAGCGAAATTTGTCTTGACGACAAGAAATGCTGAAGGACGACAATGCCACGACGAGCGTAACCGAGTAACAGTGGAAATTAAAAATCAGCAAGGCCATGACTGTGCGACGGAAGTGCGAGTCCAAGATATTAAAGATGGTAGCTATAAAGTGGGTTATTTTTCCAAAGAAACTGACGGCCATTATTTAAGTAAATTCGGGGATGAGGGTTCTTTTCCTTGTCCCTTTCACTGCATACAATATGACAAATATATGATAGTGTCAGACGCAAATGAACATTATATCAAAGTGTTTGATAGAAATGGTAATTTTTTATACCAATTTGGAAATAAGGGGGAAGGGGATGGAGAGTTCAATTTCCCTTATTGTTTATCAGTTAACAAGGCAGGACACCTGATGGTTTGTGATGCACATAATCACAGAGTACAAGTATTTGAGCTAAGTGGAAAATTTGTAACAAAATTTGGATCAAAAGGAGAGAAAAAAGGAGAATTTAATGTCCCTACCTCTACTGCAGTGCTCAGTGATGGTCGAATAGTTGTATCTGACTGTTTGAACAATCGCATTCAGATATTTGAATAGACATCACATTACTATGACTTTACCAGATTTGAGCTCATTTTTTCAAACTTTTAAACATGAAACTGCTTTCAACAAGTGATTTATATTCTCTGTAAGAATCTTCTGAATGGTCAATGAAACTATAACACTATAGTTTCAATTAATACTACATCCAAGGTAAATATCTTGTTACACCTATTTTATATGATATTGTTAATTAAGGAATTACAGAATTTACTACTATTGTCATAAAACAGATCATCTGCTCCACTGGTTTAACTCAGAAAAAGGCTCCAAAGTCAAAAATTGTAAAGAATCAAATGGTAGAAATGTGTCAATAAAGTATTTGTGATTGCATTAGCAAACTTTGCTGTATAGTAATCACTTGGCAAAAACAAAAAGGAGTGATTTGAAACTTTCCAACTGATTTTAGTCCAATATATCTGGGAAGGTCACAATTACACCTCGTTTATTATGAAAGGAAGCTAAGATGAGAAAAACCTTAAGAATTTTTTTAGGATTTGGGGTAGTTTCCACCGTTCTGTCTTTTAGGATTTCGGGTAATTTTTCCGCCGCTTCGTCTTTAAGGACTTGGGGTAATTTTCCGCCGTTCGGTGTTTAGGATTTTGGGTAGTTTTCCGCCATTCCACCATTCTGTCATTCCACCGTTCCGGCGGTCCTAGCGGATTTAGACCCCTGGTCCAAATCCGCTAGCGGATATGAAGCCCCCTCCGCAGATTTGAACCCCCCTCCTCCAACAGAACTGAGTGAAAACATTATCCTTAAAGTTCTCGTAGAAATAGATAATACTTTACGTTTCATTGCGTACTAGGGTATGTTTTTAATTCAAAATATGCGTATCGTCGATGCATACGAACTGGCAGCTAGAAATGACCCGTCGGATTTTTCTTTTGACCAAGGGAAAATGTGCAAGCATTTTCTTCAATGTTCAAAAATTCCGATGCATTATAATCATTGTTTAGAGAGATTTTCAAATGTATTTTGTTGTTAATTCATTCATATCTTTATCTCTACAGAAGCTGGATAGATGTGTGGGATTTACTGTCACAGGAATGTAGGGATGAGGTACTTGGCATTGCTTGTACATTTATAGCAAATAATGGTTAGGAAACTTGCCCCAGTGTTTTGAAGGTTGGATAATTTTATCCACTGAATAGATCTCTGTCTGGTGGATAGCTCAGTATGTTTCACTATCACTCATCTGTTTGATAGCCTCATATGCCCTCTATGCTACTGGTGCCTGTTCTGTAAGACCATGACTCTCATCTATATTGAACTGTTGTAACTTAATTTCACTGTAACTTTGGATCACAATATCCTCTGTTGACCCATAGGACTTGCAACATAGTGGGATGCAACCAAACATCCTACAATTAATCTTAAAAAGCACGGCAAAATCAACTATCAGAAGCCAAGGTTTGACATTGTTTGAAGTAGTAAAAGACATGAGTTACGAATGACACTTCACCCTTGTTTTGAGAGACACTCTCACCTAACGCGCAGGAATGCTTGACTGTAAAACTGATATGATATCATTTACAATTATCCCAATGACCAAAAGATGATAAAAAGGCATTTAATTGTCACAGTGTACTAACAAATTCTTTTCCCTCAAACAGGTGGTGCTGATTGACTCTGATGCTCTGCTTGACACATTGGAAAATTACCTCAGAAAACATAGGTAAGTGTACTTAGATGACCTTTCTGACATTTGTAGATTTTTTCTACAGATCATCAGTTACTTTATCCACTGCCCTGAACCCTTTCACTCTCAAGATAAAAAGATCAATGCTCTGCTCTGTACTTCATACATTTATTATGGGTTTGGCTTTGATAATTTTTTGTCAAATAAAACAATATATCCAAGTTTATGTTCTCCTTTCTTTCACATTACCCTATTTGAATGTGTGTTAATATTGTAAGGAGAAATTTCTTTTTGGTCACACTAGGGAGTACATGTACATGTGCATGTTTTATTTTACCATGTAACTCCTATAACTGACATATTTTATGTGTATAGTATGGTAATGATGTTCTGCTTTCAACCAGGAGACACATGTGCACTGTTCAGACAAAAGCTGTTCACTTGAAGTTCATCATGATTACTTAGCTCAGTGTAACTTATTTGTTGTTGTTGTTGTAGATTTTGTACTGAATGTAAATCAAAAGTTTTGAGGGCATACAGTGTTCTGGCAGGAGATTTGGATGGACCAAGTGAAAAGGGGTAGGTATGAAGTTATGTAAAGACAACAATATACCTGGTGAGGGTGCTTAATTTCCTTAGCTGTGAGCTCAGTTTGATTTTAGACCTGTTGTATCAGAAGTTTGGATGATTTTTTGGCCTTGCTAGAGGATTTCTATAGGATTCTCAAGTTTCCTTTCATGAAAAACTAGCCTGTGATGCAGTTGTCTTAATAGGGGTCAACATTACAAGTTTGCAATCAGTTATTCCTCTGTCCATGTTTGGTATAGCACTAGAGTGGACAGAAGGGGGGCATCTCCTTTCTTTTGACTGTTGCTCACCCCCTTGGTACAATTTGTTTTCTCTCCCCAGCCTTTCCACTGCTGTAAAAATCAAAGACAGCAGCTTAATTTTCACCTAGAAAATACAGAGTACTTGCTTGCCAAAACTACACTTGCTCTGCAGGCTATTGAAAACCTGATAAGTAGATTGATATGTTCTGTGCTTTTTTAAAACATCTCATAGATTAACAAGCAATGTTTCTTTCTGACTCATCTAGTTACTGTGCTACTTTGTATGATGGTCTTAAAAGCTGTCCTCAAGACCGGCATGTCCATGTACTGTGTGATACAGACTACATTGCACATTTAATTGGACGGGCAGAACCAGAGCTGGCTGGAGGGTATGCAATACTTGTATCCTGTTGTAGCTCATGACAGGGCTTTTCAAAAGCATCATTATTTTTCATGTGGTTCTGGCCGCCTACTTTTTGCTTTTCATTTAATTTGGTTTTATACAAGAAATTAGGGTGATTAGTAGAAATGAAAAGCTTTTCACTCATGGGAGCTTTAAGGAGCTCTGTTGCTATAGATTGTTTCCTGTAGTGTGATACTGCTGTTGGGTGGAAGAGTGTAAGGGTGCTATCCCTTCCCCCTGTGTACAGGGGAAGAAATGGTAATTTATCATGATCAAAAGCTAGGGATGCTTAAAAATGCCTGTAAAGCATCAGTGGAGAAGCTCCGCCAACCCCTCTCTCTAGAGAGAACCTTGCTTTAAGCACTACTTTTTTTTAGATTCGTTCCTGAATTTTTTCTTAACCCTTTACATCTTAACATCAGCATGTATATTCTCCATACTGTTAAAGGGTTAAGAGTGTGGCGTACCGCTAAAGTAGATTCAAAACACTTCGCTAACAGAGTACTGGCTTCGATTCATAAGCTTCTCTTTTATGTGTTGTGATAGGAGGAGAGAAAGGCATGCTAAGACACTGGACATTGCCCAGGAAGAGGTAGGAAAATTTTCGCTTTAAGTTTGTTAGAACTTCTATGAGGTGTCAATCGGTTGCTTTATGTTGGAGGATATTCTTTCCACTTACCAATATCGTTATATTCCCTAAAACTACTTTTCCGCAACAAGGTTAGCTGGTGGTTAGTATCGGTGAGGCTTCTTTCCGTACTAATTTAAACCATCTTATTTTCGGTCCATCTTGAAGGTGTTAACGTGTCTCGGTATTCACCTGTGGGAAAGACTTCATCGACTGTGGCAGAAACTGAGGGCTGAGGAGCAAACGTGGCAGATGCTGTTTTATCTGGGGGTGGAAGCTCTAAGGAAAAGTTTTGAGGCAAGATAAGAGGCGCTTTCATTTTATTTGTTGACTTTCTATTCATTATTTGCTGAGGAATAGTTGGATTGACCAGAGTTTGAATAGAACGATTGATTGAATAAACAAGAACCGAATTGCTTAGCTTCACGGAACGATCAACGGAAGCTCTAACTGTTAATCCAATCAAACCAAAATCACATGAAGGTATGCAAAAAAGAAAACAAACAAGCAAAAAACAGAAATGAACAAACGATCCACAATAGTTACGGAGTGAAATAAAGAACGAGGGAACAAACTACATGATCAAACGAAGAAAAACCAGGTTATTTTACCTGTTGATTATCTTTAGGGAACTTGACCATAGTTCCAGCAACAAGTAATGTTGGTTGGCGATGTTTTGCGTTTCTTTTTACATGGGTGTCGTTTTGACTTTGTCAGGTGGCGGTTGAAGAAAAGCAAGGCATATCACGCCTGGAACAAGTCGTCGAAGAGATTTCTGAGGCGGAGAGAGCCAAGGAACTCAGAAGAGAGCAGAAGCGATTGAAAAAGAAAGCGAGACGCAAAGAGAAATGTAAATGTGGTACTCACTTAACTATCTCGACAGCGAACAATGAACTGCAAACAGAGGAAACTGCGAAAAACGAGGAGGAATTGGTAGAGGAAGAGGTATGTACGAATGAGATCGTGGAAGAGACAAGGGAAATGAATGGACATGGCGATAGCTGTGAAGATGATGAAGATGACGGAGACAGTGGCGGTTCACCGTGCAGTTGTGAAGACTTGAGCAACTCTGAGCGAAGCAAGAGCAAAAAATCGGGTTTTAGGAATGGTGACTGCGGGTACGTATCTTTTCCAGGTTACCAGACCCAGTTGCTCAAAGGGTGGCAAACGCTATCTAAAGGATAAATCGCTATATAAAGGATAAATTGCTATCTAGCAGATAAGTGTGAAGTAAAGGTGCAGGGCTATCCAATGGATAGATATTTATTTAGTGGAAAGTGTTATCCAACCTTCAAACAACCGGGGCCAGATTGTTAGCATCGAAAACACTTTTGTGTAGCTTGTTACGGAGAAAGTTGATAAAGTACTTCAGAGTTAAACCGACGCTAAAATTGCTAGTTGCCTTTCCTGGTTGATCTTTTGCGCCTTAAAATAAGTATGTATGGCTATGTAAGGCTATTTTCCTTTCATTTATTGACTTGAAGTGATCTGTTGTAGGTACGTAGCAGAGTACAATAAATGGTCCAGGATGGTACACCAGAGTGGAGACATGTGTAATCATGGCGAAGATTCTTCGACGCTAGGAGGAGAGGAAGAGGATATATGTACAGATTGTTTGAGTGGGAGCCCAATTAGTGGTGGATCTCCACAGAGCAATAATGGAAAGGGAAGAAAGAAGAAGGGCAAAAACAAGGAGAAGAAGGTAAACATATAAGCCTCCTATCCACACCCCTTCACGATGCTTGATTAGTTATCTCTTTTCACTCCCATCAGCGACCAAGAGAGAATTTCTCCTAACAATATCAATACAATCTCAATCAGACAAGTGATGAGAATAAAGAAAAATATCATTTAGGGGATTATAAGTTGATCCAATATCAAATTCTCTAAACTAACATCGCAAGAACTGTATGGCAGACAGTTAGGAGAATTACTAATGAGATCTTGGGAGTTAAAGGGTTATTGTGCGGTAGTTTCAATCGTCATGCAATCTTGTCACTCTAACCAAGGCGGTCACGCTTTTTTGCCGTGTGAAGCTTACGTGACTAAAGGGAAGATGCCAAATGTAATTTTGCAAATCGTTACTTTGTTCTTCCTCACCGTTAAGTCAATGAAAGTATTCACTCATTCATTCATTCATTCATTCTAGTCTTCAATATTGTTTTTATCTATCTCTTTAGCAAAACTCGCCGAGACATGAAAAGCAAGAAAAGCTTGTAGAAATTATTGATGACGAAGAAAAACGGCTCCTGAAGCTAATGGGTTGGAAGGATGGAGGAACAGAGTCAATGGTGAGTTATTTTTAACTATACTTCCGTCGCTCTATGGCGATTTAGGTTTTCCCTGGGATCCGATACCCCCAAGGGTAGAATATCCCCTGATCTCAAACTTCCTGTTGCGTCACGATTTGTGCTTCTTGAAAAAGAAAGCTTAAGTTTAGATAGTCTTTTTTAATTTTTATGTACAGTCAGCTTAAATCTTCTCCATCCTTAGCTATCTTTACTTCCTCCTAGTTTATCTTTAACTTATCTTCGTTTGTCTTTATTATCGTGTTAGTATTTTGTATTCTCCGTCACGTTGTGCACCACTGAGCCAGTTGCGACTGGTCACGCGATCATAAATTAATGCGAGAGGTTACGTCACACAAATGTATATCGGGATCGTGAACAACAGGACGCTTTTCTCTAGATTGGTATACTATCGATTAACCTTTGTCGTCTTTCTTCATTTTACATCGTAGGAGTGTTTTTCGTCGGAGGAAGATCTCTGTATATCCGAGCAGGAAATTCTACGGTTCAAAGCGAACCAATCGTCAGTGTCACAGCAGCGGCGGAAGCTTCGAGAGAAACTTCGCCAACAATTTAACAATTTGACGCTTAAGGAGGGTCTTAACGTCGCTATTGTTCATTAGGCCTTGTTAAAAATGCACTCACAACAGGAGATGGGGAGATGGGCGATAGGAAATGGGCAGCGGATAGTGGGGATGGGTAGGAAAGTGACTGTACTAGAGAGACAACTTCCCTGCCCGATCCATGTTGGTAGAAAGAAGTCACTGGTTTCTGTAGTTACGGTGGAAAGATTGTGTATGCGTGTGTGTGATGTTGTTTATTGTATGCAAGTGAAGTCCGCAAGGTGTGCAGCGTTGTAGCAATGTTAATAAGGTTCTCCTTTGTTTTAATTCTTTATTTTAATTTTACTCCCTGATTACACTTTAAATCAGGATGAGTTTATGTGAAAACGGAAATAAATCTCTTGAATCAGATACTGTCAGATATCCAGGCTGAATCTTTACTCGACTTATAAAGTCTTTGTTTTCAGTCGTTTTCACCAGAAGCAAAGTTTATTCACTTGTCTGGGGAATTTCCCCCGCTATGGACTTCCAAGTGTCGTTGTAGAAATACCAAATAGTAATTTGCGTTTGCGGCAAAACGAAAAATGAAATTCAAAGACTGTACCTTTTAATGGGAACTCATCTTTTCCTTGCTCTTACCTGTCCTTTGAAACTTATTGCTATACTTTGCCCCTTGCTCGAACTCATGATAGGGCGAAAGTGTCAGCCGAGATGTCTGATGGGATAATTCTTCCAGAACCTGGTGAACATCTCTTTAATTAAGGATTTTATGCCAGTGTAATGAACAATTTCAATTCAAAGTGAGGAATGTTAGAGATTTTAACAAGACAATTTGAATTTTTGCTTATCTGCCCTTCGTCAATCTGTTTCTATGTGTTAAACGGATAGGGCCTGATGCCCGAAAGTGGTAGATCTTGGCTCGGTTTTACTTTATACCCATACCTTTAGTAACAAGTAAAGTTCTTATCGAGGCCAAGAGTTTAATAACCAATCACCAAATCAAAATGAGTCATGAAGCAATCAACTGTCTCTAACCTCCTCATCATCTGACGTGTGTGGGTTGGTCACGGAGAGCTTCCTTGGGAAGGTGTCGGCTTCACCCGAAGGAATGGGCAATTTCAACGGAGAAGTTACGTTTGACAGGTATTGTTCTCCTTTAACTTCGTTCCTAGTGCGTTTTTTCTACGTTTACTCAGTAACCTGACTTTAAAATGCACCTTATAAAATGGAGAGCCTTTCCTTTCTCTATAATGACTCAGTTCTAAAATTTGTCGAAGATGTGAGTTCGTAATCCAATTTAAAACCCTCGTACCTTAATCCTGAGCGTAAACGCACCAAACAAAAGAAAACAATCCTTTTCGGGACGGTAAACAAACGGGAGTGGAGAGAAGCGGGACCTTGTCTACGTGAGGCAGTACCCTCCCCGCCAGCGTGAAACGAATGCGAGGTCTCCCTCCCTCCCTTCCGTTTCATCTGGGGGGAAGGGTAAGGCTACACGTAGGTCAAACGGGCCTGGAAAGTGGGTTTGAGGTGTGCGTGACCACAAGAGGATACCGTGTCTCCAGACAATCAATAGGAGTGACGAAAGATTAGGATCAGACTTAGGCTTGGAGTGGCCCACTGTGTAGTGGCGTACTCGATTTTCGGTTTTGTTTGTTAGAAAGAGGCGTCGGTCCAGGGAGTAATTAAAGTGCAAACCTGGCGTTTTTCAGTTCAGTTTAAGATAACTCAAAACAAGGAAGTTCCGTCTATTTTTTATAGTGAAGATGGAAAGTTACCAGTCGACACTACCGAGATCTATGACTAACGTAACGGTAGGCGTGCTTCTCCGGCTCCATCTCGTGAAATTAACTTATTATCGAGATGATTGAGGGGAAAGTTTGCGACCAGCTTAGGTTAACGAGATCTGTAGAAGCTGGAAACGTTTTACCTTTTTAGTTAGATTTTTGAGTTGAATTTACCGCTCTAACTTCAAATCATTAAGGAAAAGAGTTGTTAATTAAGCACACACCAATTTTGCCATGTAGAAATTCGAAGATTAACCTGTTTACCTTGAGTCACCTTGTAAACTGATAAGTTTGAATCAACCGGATCGACTGCAACCTTATAGATCTGGGGTCTTTCAGCGAATAACTGTAAGGGCCTTTCCGCACTGGCGGAAAAGTTGTTTATCAAGTCAAATTTCTGTCATCAACATTTTACTAGCTCTGCATAAAATACTCTGTACAAGGACCCTTCCTTGAGGCGTATACAGTCCGTATACACAATTGTATACGGTAAATATAAGGATGTGTAAGGTCCGTATAATGATCAGTACACGTCAGGGTATGCTAAGAAAATACCTGTTGGTATGTCGTCACTTGATGAATAAATTGGAGTTGGAATCCTTTAGCAAACTATACTGGCTGGTCTTCTGAGCAGATCAAGCGCTGCCGGAATTTGACAGCTTTGAAATTTTTACTGCGGATGCAACAGACGAAAAATAATTGTCATGACGAAATTTCTCTTTTGATTTTGTTCAGACTTTCTTAGTTTTGTCCGGTACAGCAGAAAGGCCGTGAGGCAGCAAAATATTTAATTGACAACAGGAGGCAAAGATATCTTTCTTTTTTCGGAGGCATTTCGTGTCATTTTCCAATTTAATTGTATTGCCCTTAGGAGAAGTATTTTAATAAGTATAGAGCACGCACGTACTTTTAGTATTTCCATTAATGGTACAGCATTTCCGGGCCTTTGTTCCAACTTTACGGAATTTTTTCAAACAAGGTTCCAGTGCTAACCAAGAAACCTTGAATACTCCTGCCAAAATCATTGGGATCGTCAGAAAGTGAATGAGATTATAAACGCCATCGAACATTTGACCTGCCTAGTTTTATATTGGTCTAGTACTAATTCTAAATTGCATTGTCCTACGAGTTGTGGAAAATCAAGTAGAGGATAAATTAGATCTCAGGAGCCATGACCAGTTATCATTTATCGCTTAAGAGGTCGAATAATTTTACTTATTTATTTAATTTTTTGTGGGAGGGGATCACATGGTCTTCAGGGAGAACAGAAGGGAATCATTCATCGCAAGAGACTATACACTCTCTAAGCCATCGCTAACGGTATATATTTGGCAATTTCCTTTAGAATCACGCTCTTCTCAAACACGCTCTGTAAAAGTCAGCGATTGGTCGAGGCCATTCTGAAGGTCAGCCACTCTTTCGAAAACTGTCCATCATCTGATTAAAAACATGTCTGTCTACAACTGCATAATAAGCCTTTGAATGTGTGAGGTCAAGGTAAATTTACACGATTCTCAGAAATCTTGCATAACGAATATGCCAAAGACAACTCTCATGTAATTGGTCAATATTAATAGAATTTCTATCGCATGACTACTTTATAATTTGTTTTACGCTTGTTTGATGCATGAAACGAAAGCCTTATCAAGCCTTTAATCATGGATATAAAAACGTTGCTCGCCAATCTTCATGAAGAAGTATCCTGCTCTGTGTGTATGGTCACATTTACTGAACCAAAGCAGCTTCCATGTTTGCACAGCTTTTGCCTCCACTGTTTAGCAGGAATCCAAAGAAACAGCGGCCGCCATGATATCATAACATGTCCTGAGTGTCGAGGGGAGAGTCAAGTCCCTGGAGGAAATCTTAAAGATCTGCCCACAAACTTTCGCATCAACAGCTTACTAGATGTGTTGGCCATAAGGGACTGCAATTCTACTGGAGTCAAATGCGGAAACTGCGACAAACGTAGAGTAGAAAGTTTCTATTGTTTTCAGTGCTGTTCATTTTGGTGTGACGAGTGTATCACTGTGCATAACTTACTCCGAGCAAATAAAGACCACCGAGTTCTTGCGCTCAAAGATTTTGGAGATCAAGACATCGAAGATGTCTTAAAACGACCAGCATTTTGCCCACGACCGGGCCACGACAAGAAAGAATTGGAATTCTTCTGTAAGAAATGTGAACAAGCCATTTGCAATTCTTGTGTTGTAACCACTCACGATGGACATGTTAAGATACTACTGGAAGAAGCGGCAAATGAAAAGAAATTGCAAGTCATGTCTGAGATTGAGTCCAGAAAAGAAAAAGTGCAAGGAATGAGAAAGAAAATATCTCAACTTGACGAAAGCTGTGATAAAATCCAAACCCAAGTGGCAAAAGTAAAAAGAAGCGCGCAACAGTTTGCCGAAAGCATGATTGCTGTCATCGAAGCCAAGAAACAGGAAATCTTTTCTGAAGCGGATCATGAGGCACAACAGTACCTGGAACGTTTGCGAATACAAAGGTACGAAATTGAAAACAAAGTAAAAATGGTCGAAACAGCTGTAGGAAAATCTGAAACACTATTACAACGGAGCACAAACGCACAGCTTGCACAGTTCGATGACTCACAAAACAAAATACTCTTGAAAGGAGTTGATGATGAGAGAGAAGAAGTCGACTGCAACCTTGAACATTTAACATTTATTTTCGAGGAAAACAAAGCTTTGAAGACAAAAGCAATCCACGAGGGAATCGGCTCCATTAGAGCATTTCTCAGCAAGACCAGAGCGGATCAAGCAACTGCTGTAGGAGAAGGACTCACTGAGGCGATCGTTGGAATTCAAGCGAAATTTGTTTTGACGACAAGAAATGCTGAAGGACGACAATGCCACGACGAGCGTGACCGAGTAACAGTGGAAATTAAAAATCAGCAAGGCCATGACTGTGCGACGGAAGTGCGAGTCCAAGATATTAAAGATGGTAGCTATAAAGTGGGTTATTTTTCCAAAGAAACTGGAAGATGTAAGGCAGAAGTTAAACTAAACGAAGAACATGTTGCAGGCAGTCCATTTCCGGTTCGAGTGAAACCCAGACAATTCAGACCCCTGCTATCTTTTGGACAACAAGGTTCGTCTACTGAAATGTTACTCAGTCCCTGGGGAGTGGCAGTGAATGAACGCGATGAAATTGTAGTGACTGAACTCGGTAACAACAGGGTTCAGGTATTCAGTAGTGATGGAACCTACTTACGGTCGTTTGGTAGAAAAGGTAATAAACAGGGAGAATTTAATTTCCCATGCGGAATAACAATACATGAGACTAATAACATTATAGTCGTGGACAGCGGTAACCACCGTGTTCAATTGTTCAGTGAGCAGGGTGAGTACCTGAGCCAGTTTGGTGGTAAGGGAAATCTTGATCACCAGCTGTCTAATCCTCTCGGTGTATCTGTAGATAATAAAGGCAATATTATTGTTGCTGATACCGGTAACAAATCAATTAAGATCTTTTCTCCTGACGGCCATTATTTAAGTAAATTCGGGGGTGAGGGTTCTTTTACCTATCCCATTCACTGCGTACAATATGAAAAATATCTGATAGTGTCAGACGGAGATGAACATTGTATCAAAGTGTTTGATAGAAATGGTAATTTTTTATACAAATTTGGAAATAAGGGGGAAGGGGATGGAGAGTTCAATGACCCTTGTTGTTTATCAGTTAACAAGGCAGGACACCTGATGGTCTGTGATGCATCTAATAACAGAGTACAAGTATTTGAGCTAAGTGGAAAATTTGTAACAAAATTTAGATCAAAAGGAGAGAAAAAAGGAGAATTTTATTTCCCTTTCTCTACTGCAGTGCTCAGTGATGGTCGAATAGTTGTATCTGACTTTTTTAACCATCGCATTCAGATATTTGAATAGACATCACATCACTATGCCTTACCAGATTTTAGCTCATTTTTTCAAACTTTTAAACATGAAACTGCTTTCAACACGTGATTTATATTCTCTGTAAGAATCTTCTGAATGGTCAATGAAACTATAACACTATAGTTTCAATTAATGCTACATCCAAGATAAATATCTTGTTACACCTATTTTATATGATATTGTTAATTAAGGAATTACAGAATTTACTGCTATTGTCATAAAACAGATCATCTGCTCCACTGGTTTAACTCAGAAAAAGGCTCCAAAGTCAAAAATTGTAAATAATCAAACGGTAGAAATGTGTCAATAAAGTATTTGTGATTGCATTTGCAAACTTCGCTGTATAGTTATCACTTGGCAAAAACAAAAAGGAGTGATTTGAAACTTTCCGACTGATTTTAGTCCAATATATCTGGGAAGGTCACACTTACATCTCATTTATTATGAAAGGAAGCTAGGATAAGAAAAACCTTAAAAAATTTTTAGGATTTGGGATAGTGTCTGCCGTTCTGTCTTTTAGGATTTCGGGTAATTTTTCCCCCGCTTCGTCTCTAAGGACTTGGGGTAATTTTCCGCCGTTCGGTGTTTAGGATTTTGGGTAGTTTTCCGCCATTCCCCCGGTCCAAATCCGCTAGCGGATATGGACCCCCCTCCGCAGATTTGGACCCCCGCCCCCCAACAGAACTGAGTCAAACACCATCATTAACGTTCTCGTAGAAATAGATAATACGTTTCAGTGCGTACTAAAGTATGTTTTTAATTCAAAATATGCGTATCGCCGATGCATACGAACTGGCAAAATGTGCAAGCATTTTGTTCAATGTTCGGAGAAAGGTCGCTTTTGAACCTTTTCCGCGATAGTCGAACACTGCTAGATTAAGTAAGAGACAAACTTATGACACTAATTTATTTTGTTATTGTTCAATGCCCAAGTGTTGAGACGACATGGTACACTGCAAGTTTGTTATTTCAGATCCCTCAACAGTTAATAATCGTTAAAATTAGAAAATAAGATTGAGTTCGATGAAATAGTCTCCACTTTGTTAAGACGTAGACATGTTGATTTGCATCTGAAAATAAGCTGAGAGTTCCAATAGTTCAGAATAGAAACATTTTTTTCTCATAATAGGCTTTACGAACGACTTGTAGGAGTTGTTACTTCCTTCTTGTTCAGAAACTGTTTAATAATATTTAATTAGAAAATCAGACTGAGCTATTTTTGTGACTGGACGCAATAGTCACCACTATTATTATGACGTTTCGTATCAATGTTGATTCGCATCAGAAGAAGCAAAGATTTGTTGTTACAATTTCAATCGTTCGAATACAGTAGTTTGTTCGCATCTAATTCTTGCGTATACTGTACGACTCCCTATAATAAATGCGGCAGGATTGGAACGAAATGGCTGTTTTTCTTTACCTTTATTGAGGAATGTTGTGTTGTAATTGAAAAGAACATCGACAAAAAGCTTGCAAATAGAATTAGTTATCAAATATGATACAATCGATGCTTAAAAGGAAAGTTTGGTGGGGGGATCCAAATCTGCGATCCAGGGGTCCAAATCCACTGTGACACCGGCTTTAAGGGTGCCCTTTCCGGTGAGATGTCTAAAAAGCACCTCGTGGAAGGTAGTGACCGATCAAATAACATATTTACTTCAATCTCATCTGCAATTTCCACATTAATGTTATAGGAAATGTCTCGTAATTGCGGAAGTTCCGGGTGAATTTCAGGGAACGCGGTTCGATCAGCTTTAGACACCAGTTGTTTGTTTGCTTGATATGGAGGGCGCCCTCTAGGTTTTTTCACACAAGAGCACTCTTGTTCACGATGAGATGTCCACATAAAGGGTTGTTTGAAGTTGAAATGACTTTTTGCTGAGCTGAGTTTTCTCGGACTTGATAAAGTATTCTTTTCCTTACCGAGAGGACCCATTTGGGAATGGTATAAATTTCTTCAAAACCCTGGTCGATATCATTTTGAATTGAACAGAAAGCTCATTTTTGAATAAGCTTTTGTCAGACTGTCTTACTTGAAAGTCCTTTGTCATGAAGTCGACAGACTGTTCTCAAGAAGGAGATATGATAATCCATAAGCTGAGACAAAAAACGAAATGACCTTTATGAATACCGAGAAAAATCACCAGCTGCTAAACGCCATGACGTCATGACACCGTAGGACAACATGCGACAACAAGAACAGCCGTGCACATAAATACGTTTCTCGGCGAAACCAAAGCGGATCAATCAACTTCTAAAGGAAAAGGACGCACTGAAGCGATTATTGGAATTCAAGCGAACTTTGTTTTCACATAAAGAAATGCTGAAGGACAATGCCACGAGAAGCGTGACCAAATAACAGTGAAAATTAAAAATCGGCAGGGCCATGACTGTGCGACGGAAGCGAGAGTTCAGGGTAATAAAGATGGCAGCTACAAGATCAGCTATTTCCCCAAAGATAGCGAAAGATAAGAGGCAGTGGTCAAAGTGAGCAAAGAACAAGCTCGAGGCAGTCCCTCTCCGGCTCTAGTTAAACCCAGACAGTTCTGTCCTGTGTTATCTTTTGGCTAACGAGGTTCGTCTGCTTGAATGTTAAACAAACCCTTGGGAGTGGCGGTGAATGAATGCGATGAAATTGCAGTGACTGATACTGGTAACCGCAGGGTTCAGGTATTCAGTAGTGATAAAACCAATACTTAAGATCTTTTGATAGAGATGGTGATAAACAGGGAAAACTCACTCGTCCCAGAGGAGTAGCATTTGATAAGAATAATAACATTATAGTGGTGGATACTCTTAACAGCCTTGTTCAATTGTTCAGTAAGCAGGGTGAGTACCTGAGCCAGTTTGGTGGTAAAGGAAATCTTGACCACCCGCTGGATTATCCTCATGGTTTATCTGTAGATAATAAAGGCAATATTATTGTTGCTGATAGGTATAACGAATCAATTAAGATCTTTCCTCCTGATGGTCATTACTTAAATTATGTAAATTCAGGGATGAGGGTTCTTTTACCTTCCCTTCTCACTACTCTCAATATGACAAATATCTGATAGTGTCAGATGCAAACGAACATTGTATCAAAGTGTTTGCTGGAAATGGTAATTTTCTATACAAATTTGGAAATAAGGGGAGGGGATGGGGGAGTTCAATAACCCTTTGTCATTTGTCAGTTAACAAGGTAGGACACCTGATGGTTTATGAGACTTCAAACCACAGAGTTCTGGTATTTGAGCTGAGTGGAAAAATTTTAACAAAATCTGGATCAAAAGGAAATTCTAATACTAGTCATAATGCATCATGTCCCTACTTCAAAAACTGATTGATAGCTTGTTTAGTTAAAGTTTGAATGTGTACTTTCAAGTGCTAAGTTGTGAGACTGCATGAACTTTGAGACAGAATAACAGAAGAAACCCATGCTTTATTCCTTTTAAACCCTTTACACCTTAGCATCAGTATGCATATTCTCCACACTGTTCTTTATACATTTCCTAAGGCACTGACAAGGAGAATTTGTTTGCTGATCTAAAGATTCTTTTCATGGTGATCATTCACTTTATTCTCATGACCTTAATGTGTGATTAAGGGCTGATATTGTAGGGAGAAATAAGAAGGTGGTCAATCTTAGGTTTTAAAGGGTTAAGTGGATCCATCATTCTTATTTTCATCAAGCGCCCTAAACAACCACCAGGTGAGTCCTCCTATCAATTGACGGTGGATGAAGGATGGTGGAATTTGCAGTGATGCTCAGTTGTTATTTATCAAATCCAACACTGTGATATGACAGTGATCTAAATCTTACAGAGTGTGTTGTTTGTTTTGTTTAGGCTCCCATGGGCAGAGTTACATGATTGATCAAGTTGTTGTGGTTATGCTGTTCAATGAACCTTTGTGCAAAGTCATAGATGCTTGGCATCCTTGTCAGAGTAAAAATTTACCTATGTTTTAAGTTTTGACAATCTATTCTTTTACGTCTGCTCTCTAATAAGTAACTGGAATTTTTCTTTTTAATTCCACACTTCAATTGGGTGGATAGCTCAGTATGTTTTGCTATCACTGATCTGCTAGATAGGGATTTATTAATTTTGTAGAATAGCCTCATACAGTGTATGCCCTCTATGCAACTGGGGCCTGTTCTGTAAGACTATGACACTCAGCTCTATTGAAATGTTGTAACTTAATTTCACTGTGACGTTGGATCACAATGTCCTCCATTGACCCATAGGACTTGCAACAAAGTGGGATACAACCAAAACATCCTACAATTAATCTTAAAAAGCATGGCAAAATCAGCTACTAGAAGCCGAGGTTTGACTTTTTTTGAAATAGTAATAGAGATCAGTTACTAATGACACTTCTCTCTTGTTTTGAGAGACACTCTCACCTTAAATGCACAGGAATGCTTGACTATAAAACTGATATGATATCATTTACAACTTTACCCCTGATTAAAAGATGATAAAAAGGCATTTAATTGTCACAATGTACTTACAAATTCTTTTCCCTCAAACAGGTGATGCTGATTGACTCCAATGCTCTGCTTGACACATTGGAAAATTACCTCAGAAAACATAGGTAAATGTACATAGATGATCTCTGTAACATCTGTTGATTTTTCCTACTGAGTTCCTTAATGTCTAAGTGCCCTGAACCCTTTCACTCCCAAGATGAAATGATCAATTCTCTGCTCTGTACTTCAAACATTTATAACAAGTTTGGCTTTGATAATATTTTGTCAATTAAAACAAATGAATATACCCAAGTTTATGTCCTCCTTTCTTTCTCATCACCCTTTTATTTGAATTTGTGTTAATATTGTAAGGAGAAATTTCTTTTTGGTCACACTAGGGAGTACATGTACATGTGCATGTTTTTTTTACCATGTAACTCCTTTAACTGACATATTTTATGTATATAGTATGGTAATGCTGTTCTACTTTCAACCAGGAGACACATGTGCAGTGTTCAGATGAAAGTTGTTCACTTGAAGTTCATCATGATAACTTAGCTCAGTGTAACTTATTTGTTGTTGTTGTTGTTGTTGTTGTTGTTGTAGATTTTGTACTGAATGTAAATCGAAAGTTTTGAGGGCATACAGTATTCTGGTAGGAGATTTGGATGGGCCGAGTGAAAAGGGGTAGGTATGAAGTGATGTAAAGACAACAATATACCTGTGAGAGTGCTTAATTTCCTTAGACCTGTCGTGTTAGAAGTTTGGATGGTTTTTTGGCCTTGCTAGGGGATTTTCTCCAGGATTCTCAGGTTTCCTTTCTTGACAAACCAGCCTATGGTGCAGGTGTCTTAATAGGGGTCAACATTACAAGTTTGCAATCAGTTATTCCTCTGTCCATGTTTGGTATAGCACTAGAGTGGACAGAAGGGAGGCCTCTCCTTTCTTTTGACTGTTGCTCACCCCCTTGGTACAATTTGTTTTCTCTCCCCAGCCTTTCCACTGCTGTAAAAGTCAAAGACAGCAGCTTAATTTTCACCAAGAAAATACAGAGTACTCAGTTGCCAAAACTATACCTGCTCTGCAGGCTATTGAAAACCTCATAAGCAAATTGATATGTTCTGTGCTTTTTTGAAACATCTCATAGATTAACAAGCAATTTTTCTTTCCTGACTCATCTAGTTACTGTGCTACTTTGTATGATGGTCTTAAAAGCTGTCTTCAAGACCGTCATGTCCATGTACTGTGTGATACAGACTACATTGCACATTTAATTGGACGGGCAGAACCAGAGCTGTCTGGAGGGTATGCTATATACTTGCATCCTGTTGTAGCTCATGACAGGGCTTTTCAAAGGCATCATTATTTTTTATGTGGTTCTGGCCACCTACTTTTTGCTTTTCATTTAACTTGGTTTTATACAAGAAATGAGGGTGATTAGTAGAAATGAAAAGCTTTTCACTCATGGGAGCTTTAAGGAGCTCTGTCACTATAGGTTGTTTCCTGTAGTGTGATATTGCTATTGGGTGGAAGAGTGTAAGGGTCTTATCCCTTCCCCCTGTGTGCAGGGGAAGAAGTGGTAATTTATCATAATCAAAAGCTACGAATGCTTAAAAATGCCTGTAAGGCATCAATGAGAAGCTCCACCAACCCCTCTCTCTAGAGAGAACCTTGCTTAAAGCACTACTTCTTTTAGATTCTTTCCTGAATTTTTTCTTAACCCTTTACATCAGCATGTATATTCTCCATACTGTTCTTCAGACATTTCCTACGGCTCTGACAAGGAGATTTAAGTTAAAACTCAAGAGCTTTTCAAATTGATGAGCATTTCCTCAATTTTTCTTGAGCTTAATGTTTGGTTTAGTAGTGATACCTTAGTGAGAAATTAGATGCTAGTCACCCTCAAAGGTTAAAGGGTTAAGAGTGTGATGTATCGCTAAAGTAGGTTCAAAACACTTTGTTAACAGAGTACTAGCTTCGATTCATAAGTTTGTCTTGTATTTGTTCAATCGGTGCTCTATGTCGGAGGATGTTCTTTCCACTTACCGATATCGTTAATTCCCTAAAACTACTTTTCCGCAACAAGGTTAGCTGGTGGTTAGTATCGCTGAGGCTTCTTTCCGTACTAATTTAAGCCATTTTGTTTTCGGTCCATCTTGAAGGTGTTAACGTGTTTTTTACACGAGTGCCGTTTTGACTTTGTCAGGTGGCGGTTGAAGAAAAGCAAGGCATATCACGCCTGGAACAACTCGTCGAAGAGATTTCTGAGGTGGAGAGAGCCAAGGAACTCAGAAGGGAGCAGAAGCAGCGAACAATGAACTGAAAGCAGAGGAAACTGCGAAAAACGAGGAGGTATTGGAAGAGGAAGAGGTATGTGTGAACGAGAACGTGGAAGAGACTGAGGAAATTAATGGACATGGCGATATAGCTGTGAAGATGATGAAGATGACGGAGGCAGTGGCGGTTCACCGTGCAGTTGTGAAGACTTGAGCAACTGTGAGCGAAGCAAGAGCAAAAATCGGGTTTTAGGAATGGTGACTGTGGGTACGTATCTTTTCCAGGTTACCAGACCCAGTTGCTCAAAGGGTGCCTAACGCCATCTAAAGGATAAATTGCTATCTAGCGGATAAGTGTGAAGTAAATGTGCTGGGCTATCTGATGGATAGGGATTTATTTAGTGGAAAGTGTTATCCAACCTTCAAACAACCGGGGCCAGATTGTTAGCATTGAAAACACTTTTCTGTAGCTTGTTACGGAGGAAGTTGATAAAGTACTTCAGAGTTAAATCGACGCTAAAATTGCTAGTTGCCTTTCCTGGTTGATCTTTTGCGCCTTAAAATAAGTATGTAGAAGGTGAGTAGGTGTATATTGTCCATACTTTTCGCTTTACGTTTCCTAAGAAAATGACGAGGAGAATATGTGAAACAATCGGGAGCTTCTCATTTTCTTTGTTCTCATGACCTTAATGCTTGATTCATGGATGATGCTGATAAATTAGAGTCTAGACGCAGTATTGGTTTAAGGGTTGACAAGCATTTGTGCTGTAATCCCAGCTATTTTCCTTTCATTTATTGACTTGAAGTGATCTGTTGTAGGTACGTAGCAGAGTACAATAAATGGTCCAGGATGGTACACCAGAGTGGAGACATGTGTAATCATGGCGAAGATTCTTCGACGTTAGGAGGAGAGGAAGAGGATATATGTACAGATTGTTTGAGTGGGAGCCCAATTAGTGGTGGATCTTCACAGAGCAATAATGGAAAGGGAAGAAAGAAGAAGGGCAAAAACAAGGAGAAGAAGGTAAACATATAAGCCTCCTATCCACACCCCTTCACGATGCTTGATTAGTTATCTCTTTTCACTCCCATGAGCGACCAAGAGAGAATTTCTCCTAACAGTATCAATAGAATCTCTATCAGACAAGTGATGAGAATAAAGAAAAATATCATTTAGGGGATTATAAGTTGATCCAATATCAAATTCTCTAAACTAACATCGCAAGAACTGTATGGCAGACAGTTAGGAGAATTACTAATGAGATCTTGGGAGTTAAAGGGTTATTGTGCCGTAGTTTCAATCGTCATGCAATCTTGTCACTCTAACAAAGGCGGTCACGCTTTTTTGCCGTGTGAAGCTTGCGTGACTAAAGGGAAGATACCAAATGTAATTTTGCAAATCGTTACTTTGTCCTTCCTCACCGTTAAGTCAATGAAAGTATTCACTCATTCATTCATTCATTCATTCTAGTGTTCAATATTGTTTTTATCTATCTCTTTAGCAAAACTCGCCGAGACATGATAAGCAAGAAAAGCTTGTAGAAAATATTGATGACGAAGAAAAACGGCTCCTGAAGCTAATGGGTTGGAAGGATGGAGGAACAGAGTCAATGGTGAGCTATTTTTAACTATACTTCCGTCGTTCTATGGCGATTTAGGTTTTCTCTGGGATCCGATAACCTCAAGGGTAGAATATCCCCTGATCTCAAACTTCCTGTTGCGTCACGATTTGTGCTTGTTGAAAAAGTAAGCTTAAGTTCATATAGTCTTTTTTAATTTTTATGTACAGTCTGCTTAAATCTTCTCCATCCTTAGCTATCTTTACTTCCTCCTAGTTTGTCTTTAACATATCTTCGTTTGTCTTTATTATCGTGTTAGTATTTTGTATTCTCCGTCACGTTGTGCACCACTGAGCCAGTTGCGACTGGTCACGCGATCATAAATTAATGCGAGAGGTTACGTCACACAAATGTATATTGGGATCGTGAACAACAGGACGCTTTTCTCTAGATTGGTATACTATCGATTAACCTTTGTCGTCTTTGTTCATTTTACATCATAGGAGTGTTTTTTGTCGGAGGAAGATCTTTGTATATCCGAGCAGGAAATTCTACGGTTCAAAGCGAACCAATCGTCAGTGTCACAGCAGCGACGGAAGCTTCGAGAGAAACTTCGACAACAATTTAACAATTTGACGCTTAAGGAGGGTCTTAACGTCGCTATTGTTCATTAGGCCTTGATAAAAATGCACTCACAACAGGAGATGGGGAGATGGACGATACAAAATGGGCAGCGGATAGTGGGGATGGGTGGGAAAGTGACTGTACTAGAGAGACAACTTCCCTGCCCGATCCATGTTGGTACAATGTAGTCACGGGTTTCTGTAGTTACGGTGGAAAGATTGTGTGTGTGTGTGATGTTGTTTATTGTATGCAGGGGAAGTCTGCAAGGTGTGCAACGACGTAGCAATGTTAATAAGGTTCTCCTTTGTTTTAATTCTTTATTTTAATTTTACCCCCTGATTACACTGTAAATCAGGATGAGTTTATGTGAAAACGGAAATAAATCTCTTGAATCAGATACCGTCAGATACTAAACATCCAGGCTAGAATCTTTACTCGACTTATAAAGTCTTTGTTTTTAGTCGTTTTCACCAGAAGCAAAGTTTATTCACTTGTCTTGGGAATTTCCCCCGCTATGGACCTCCGAGTGTCATTGTAGAAATACCAAAATAGTAATTTGGGTTTGCGGCAAAACGAAAAATGGATTTCAAAGACTGTAACTTTTCATGGGGACTCCTCTTTTGCTTGCTCTTACCTGTTCTTTGAAACTGATTGCTATACTTAAGAATGCCCCTTGCTCGAACTCGTGGTAAGGCGAAAGTGTCTGCCGAGATGTTTGATGGAATATTTCTTCTAGAACCTGGTGAACATCTCTTTAATTAAGGATTTTATGCCAGTGTAATGAACAATTTCAATTAAAAGTGAGGAATGTTAGAGATTTTGATAAGACAATTTTAATTTTTGCCTATCTGCCCTTCGTCAATCTGGTTCTATGTGTTAAACGGATAGGGCCTGATGCCCGGAAGTGGTAGATCTTAGCTCGGTTTTACTTTATACCCATACCTTTAGTAACAAGTAAAGTTCTTATCGAGGCCAAGAGTTTAATAACCAATCACCAAATCAAAATGAGTTATGAAGCAATCAACTGTCTCTAACCTCCTCATCTGACGTGTGTGGGTTGGTCACGGAGAGCTTCCTTGGGAAGGTGTCGACTTCACCCGAAGGAATGGGCAATTTCAACGGAAAAGTTACGTTTGAAAGGTATTGTTCCCCTTTAACTTCGTTCCTAGTGCGTTTCTTCTACGTTTACTCAGTAACCTGACTTTAAAATGCACCTTATAAAATGGAGAGCCTTTCCTTTCTCTCTAATGACTCAGTTCTAAAATTTGTCGAAGATGTGAGTTCGTAATCCAATTTAAAACCCTCGTACCTTAATCCTGAGCGTAAACGCACCAAACAAAAGAAAACAATCCTTTTCGGGACGGTAAACAAACGGGAGTGGAGAGAAGCGGGACCTTGTCTACGTGAGGCAGTACCCTCCCCGCCAGCGTGAAACGAATGCGAGGTTTCCCCTCTCCCTCCCTCCCTTCCGTTTCATCTGGGGGGAAGGGTAAGGCTACACGTAGGCCAAACGGGCCTGGAAGGTGGGTTTGAGGTGTGCGTGACCACAAGTGGATACCGTGTCTCCAGACAACCAATAGGAGTGACGAAAGATTAGGATCAGACTTTGGCTTGGAGTGGTCCACTGTGTAGTGGCGTACTCGATTTTCGGTTTTGTCTGTTACAAAGAGGCGTCGGTCCAGGGAGTAATTAAACTGCAAACCTGGCGTTTTTCAGTTCAGTTTAAGATACGTCAAAACAAGGAAGTTCCGTCTATTTTTTATAGTGAAGATGGAAAGTTACCAGTCGAAACTACCGAGATCTATAACTAACGTAACGGTGGGCGTGCTTCTCCGGCTCCATCTCGTGAAATTAACTTATTATCGAGATGATTGAGGGGAAAGTTTGCGACCAGCTTAGGTTAACGAGATCTGTAGAAGCTGGAAAAGTTTTACCGTTTTAGTTAGATTTTGAGTTGAATTTACCGCTCTAACTTCAAATCATTAAGGAAAAGAGTTGTTAATTAAGCACACACCAATTTTGCCTTGTAGAAGTTGGAAGATTAACCTGTTTACCTTGAGTCACCTTGTAAACTGATAAGTTTGAATCAACCGGATCGACTGCAACCTTAGAGATCTGGGGTCTTTCAGGGAATAATTGTAAGGGCCTTTCCGCACTGGCGGAAAAGTTGTTTATCTAGTCAAATTTCTGTCATCAACATTTTACTAGCTCTGCATAAAATACTCTGTATAAGGACCCTTCCTTGAGGCGTATACAGTCAGTATACAGAATTGTATAAGGTAAATATAAGGATGCGTAAGGTCCGTATAATGATCAGTACACGTCAGGGTATGCTAAGAAAATACCTGTTGGTATGTCGTCACTTGATGAATAAATTGGAGTTGGAATCCTTTAGCAAACTATACTGGCGGGTCTTCTGAGCAGATCAGGCGCTACCGGAATTTGACAGCTTTGAAATTTTTACTGCGGATGCAACAGACGAAAAAAAATTGTCATGACGAAATTTCTCTTTTGATTTTGTTCAGACTTCCTTAGTTTTGTCCGGTATAGCAGAAAGGCCGTGAGGCAGCAAAATATTTAATTGACAACAGGATGCAAAGATATCTTTCTTTTTTCGAAGGCATTTCGTGTCATTTTCCAATTTATTTGTATTGCCCTTGGGAGAAGTATTTTAATAAGCATAAGTATAGAGCACGCACGTACTTTTAGTATTTCCATTAATGGTATAGCATTTCCGGGCCTTTGTTCCAACTTTACGGAATTTTTTCAAACAAGGTTCCAGTGCTAACCAAGAAACCTTGAACACTCCTGCCAAAATCATCGGGATCGTCAGAAAGTGAATGAGATTACAAACGCCATCGAACATTTGACCTGCCTAGTTTTATATTGGTCTCATACTAATTCTAAATTGTTTTGTCCAGCGAGTTGTGGAAAATTAAGTAAAGGATAAATTAGATCTCAGGAGCCATGACCAGTTATCATTTATCGCCTAAGGGGTCGAATGATTTTACTTATTTATTTAATTTTTTGTGGGGGGATCACATGGTTTTCAGGGAGAACAGAAGGGAATCATTCATCGCAAGAGACTATACACGCTCTTAGCCATCGCTAACGGTGTATAAAGCAAGGACTATTGAAAATTGACTGTCTATAAGGGGGGGGGGGGGGCGGGGGCCATTAGAATATACACAGCCTAAGGGGAGGTATCCTAAGGGGAGGTATCAGGGAAGTTTTATTGTGACACGACCAAAATCCTTCAGAAGTTAGAGTACTTTTCTCTGGCGTATTCAAGAGATTTTCAGTTTCCTCCGTTTCAAACTTAAAATGCTACCTTCAAAACAGGACATTTATTATTATTGATATATTTCATTGGAATCTATATGTTAATAGATCAAGGTAAATAAGTCCTTCTCATTTTGTCTTATATTTAAACTTAACGGAAATGAAAGAAAAATATAGTCTAACACAAATTTCTCTCCCTATAAACAAGTACGGGTAACGGTCTCTTTTCATGACCGGTTCAAATAAATGCATTCTACGCGCACTTTTTAGAAATACAGATCTGACCCGTTAACAAATGGAAATTTTCTTTAGAATCACGCTCTTCTCAAACACGCTCTGTGAAAGTCAGCAATTGGTCGAGGCCATTCTCAAGGTCAGCCACTCTTCCGAAAACTGTCTATCATCTGATTAAAAACATGTCTATCTACAACTGCATAATAAGCCTTTGAATGTGTGAGGTCAAGGTAAATTTACACGATTCTTAGAAATCTTGCATATCGAATATGCCAAAGACAACTCTCATGTAATTGGTCAATATTAATAGCATTTCTATCGCATGACTACTTTGTAATTTGTTTTACGCCTGTTTGATACATGAAGCGAAAGCCTTATCGAGCCTTTAATCATGGATATCAAAACGTTGCTCGCCAATCTTCATGAAGAAGTATCCTGCTCTGTGTGTATGGTCACATTTACTGAACCAAAGCAGCTTCCATGTTTGCACAGCTTTTGCCTCCACTGTTTAGCAGGAATCCAAAGAAACAGCGGCCGCCATGATGTCATAACATGTCCTGAGTGTCGAAGGGAGAGTCAAGTCCCTGGTGGAAATCTTAAAGATCTGCCCACAAACTTTCGCATCAACAGCTTACTAGATGTGTTGGCCATAAGGGACTGCAATTCTACTGGAGTCAAATGCGGAAACTGCGACAAACGCAGAGTAGAAAGTTTCTACTGTTTTCAGTGCTGTTCATTTTGGTGTGACGAGTGTATCACTGTGCATAACTTACTCCGAGCAAATAAAGACCACCGAGTTCTTGCGCTCAAAGATTTTGAAGATCAAGACATCGAGGATGTCTTAAAACGACCAGCATTTTGCCCACGACCGGGCCACGAAAAGAAAGAATTGGAATTCTTCTGTAAGAAATGTGAACAAGCCATTTGCAGTTCTTGTGTTGCAACCACTCACGATGGACATGTTAAGATACTACTGGAAGAAGCGGCAAATGAAAAGAAATTGCAAATCCTGTCTGAGACTGAATCCAGAAAAGCTAAAGTGCAAAGAATGAGAAACAAAATATCTCAACTTGACGAAAGCTGTGATAGAATCCAAACCCAAGTCGCAAAAGTAAAAAGAAGCGCGCAACAGTTTGCCGAAAGCATGATTGCTGTCATCGAAGCCAAGAAACAGGAAATCTTTTCTGAAGCGGACCATGAGGCACAACAGTACCTGGAACGTTTGCGAATACAAAGGATCGAGATTGAAAATAAAGTAAAAATGGTCGAAACAGCTGTAGGAAAATCTGAAACACTATTACAACGGAGCACAAACGCAGAGCTTGCACAGTTCGATGACTCACAAAACACAACACTCTTGAAAGGAGTTGATGATGAGAGAGAAGGAGTCGACTGCAACCTTGAATATTTAAGTGAACTTATTTTCGAGGAAAACGAAGCTTTGAAGACAAAAGCAATCCACGAGGGAATCGGCTCCATTAGAGCGTTTCTCAGCAAGACCAGAGCGGATAAAGCAACTGCTGAAGGAAAAGGACTCACTGAGGCGATCGTTGGAATTCAAGCGAAATTTGTCTTGACGACAAGAAATGCTGAAGGACGACAATGCCACGACGAGCGTGACCGAGTAACAGTGGAAATTAAAAATCAGCAAGGCCATGACTGTGCGACGGAAGTGCGAGTCCAAGATATTAAAGATGGTAGCTATAAAGTGGGTTACTTTTCCAAAGAAACTGGAAGATGTAAGGCAGAAGTTAAACTAAACGAAGAACATGTTCCAGGCAGTCCATTTCCGGTTCGAGTGAAACCCAGAAAATTCAGACCCGTGCTATCTTTTGGACAACAAGGTTCGTCTGCTGAAATGTTACTCAAACCCTGGGGAATGGCAGTGAATGAACGCGATGAAATTGTAGTGACTGAACTCGGTAACAACAGGGTTCAAGTATTCAGTAGTGATGGAACTTACTTACGGTCGTTTGGTAGAAAAGGTAATAAACAGGAAGAATTTAATTGCCCATGCGGAATAACAATACATGAGACTAATAACATTATAGTCGTGGACAGCTGGAACCACCGTGTTCAATTGTTCAGTGAGCAGGGTGAGTACCTGAGCCAGTTTGGTGGTAAGGGAAATCTTGATCACCAGCTGTCTAAGCCTCTCGGTGTATCTGTAGATAATACAGGCAATATTATTGTTGCTGATAGAGGTAACAAATCAATTAAGATCTTTTCTCCTGACGGCCATTATTTAAGTAAATTCGGGGGTGAGGGTTCTTTTACCTCTCCCGTTCACTGCGTACAATATGAAAAATATCTGATAGTGTCAGACAGCGATGAACATTGTATCAAAGTGTTTGATAGAAATGGTAATTTTTTATACAAATTTGGAAATAAGGGGGAAGGGGATGGAGAGTTCAATGGCCCTTATTATTTATCAGTTAACAAGGCAGGACACCTGATGGTTTGTGATACACGTAATCACAGAGTACAAGTATTTGAGCTAAGTGGAAAATTTGTAACAAAATTTGGATCAACAGGAGAGAAAAAAGGAGAATTTAATTTCCCTGTCTCTACTGCAGTGCTCAGTGATGGTCGAATATGTGTATCTGACTGTTGGAACAATCGCATTCAGATATTTGAATAGACATCACATTACTATGCCTTACCAGATTTGAGCTCATATTTTCAAACTTTTAAACATTAAACTGCTTTCAACACGTGATTTATATTCTCTGTAAGAATCTTCTGAATGGTCAATGAAACTACAACACTATAGTTTCAATTAATGCTACATCCAAGATAAATATCTTGTTACGCCTATTTTATATGATATTGTTAATTAAGTAATTACAGAATTTACTACTATTGTCATAAAACAGATCATCTGCTCCACTGGTTTAACTCAGAAAAAGGCTTTAAACTCAAAAATTGTAAATAATCAAACGGTAAAAATGTGTCAATAAAGTATTTGTGATTGCATTTGCAAACTTTGCTGTATAGTAATCACTTGGCAAAAACAAAAAGGAATGATTTGAAACTTTCCGACTGATTTTAGTCCAATATATCTGGGAAGGTCACAATTACATCTCATTTATGATGAAAGAAAGCTAAGATGAGAAAAACCTTGAAAATTTTTTAGGAATTTGGGGTAGTTTCCGCTGTTCTGTCTTTTAGGATTTCGGGTAATTTTTCCACCGTTTCGTTTTTAAGGACTTGGAGTAATTTTCCGCCGTTCGGTGTTTAGGATTTTGCGAAGTTCTCCGCCATTCCACCATTCCATCATTTCACCGTTCCGGTGTCCTAGCGGATCTGGACCCCCCGGTCCAAATCCGTTAGCGGATATGAACCCCGTTCCGCAGATTTGGACCTCCCCCACCCCCCAACAGAACTGAGTGAAAACATCATCCTTAACGTTCTCGTAGAAATAGATAATACTTTCCGTTTCAGTGCGTACTAAAGTATGTTTTTAATTCAAAATATGCGTATCGCCGACGCATACGAACTGGCAGCTAGAAATGACCCGTCGGATTTTCCTTTTGACCAAGGGAAAATGTGGAAGCATTTTGTTCAATGTTCGGAGAAAGGTCGTTTTTGAACCTTTTCCGCGATAGTCGAACACCGCTAGATTCAGTAAGAGACAAACTTATGACACTAATTTATTTTGTTATTGTTCAATACCCAAGTGTTGAGACGACATGGTACACTGCAGGTTTGTTATTTCAGATCCCTCAACAGTTAATAATCGTTAAAATTAGAAAATAAGATTGAGTTCGATGAAATAGTCTCCACTTTTGTTAAGACGTAGATATGTTGATTTGCATCTGAAAATAAGCTGAGAGTTCCCATAGTTCAGAATAGAAACATTTTTTCTCATAATAGGCTTTACGAACGACTTGTAGTCGGAGTTGTTACTTCCTTCTTGTTCAGAAACTGTTTAATGTTATTTAATTAGAAAATCAGACTGAGTTATTTTTGTGACTGGACGCAACAGTCTCCACTATTATTATGACGTTTCGTATCAATGTTGATTCGCATCAGAAGAAGCAAAGATTTATTGTTACAATTTCAATTGTTCGAATGCAGTAGTTTGTTCGCATCTAATTCTTGCGTATACTGTACGACTCGCTCTAATAAATGCGGCAGGATTGGAGCGAAATGGCTGTTTTTCTTTACCTTTATTGAGGAATGTTGTGTTGTAATTGAAAAGAACATCGACAAAAAGCTTGCAAATAGAATTAGTTATCAATTATGATAAAATCGATGCTTAAAAGAAAAGTTTGGTGGGGAGATCCAAATCTGCGAAGAGGGGTCCAAATCCGCTGTGACACCGGCTTTAAGGGTGCCCTTTCCGGTGAGATGTCTAAAAAGCACCTCGTGGAAGGTAGCGACCGATCAAATAACGTATTTGCTTCAATCTCATCTGCAATTTCCACATAAATCGGAAATGTCTCGTAATTGCGGAAGTTCTGGGTGAATTTCAGGGAACGCGGTTCGATCAGCTTTAGACACCAGTTGTTTGTTTGCTTGATATGGAGGGCGCTCTCTAGGTTTTTTCACACAAGAGCAGTCTTGTTCACGATGAGATGTCCACATAATGGGTTGTTTGAAGTTGAAATAATTTTTTGTCGAACTGAGTTTTCTCGGACTTGATAAAGTATTCTTTTCCTTACCGAGAGGACCCATTTGGGAGAAATTTCTTCAAAACCCTGGTCGATATCATTTTGAATTGAACAGAAAGCTCATTTTTGAATAAGCTTTTGTCAGACTGTCTTCCTTGAAAGTCCTTTGTCATGAAGTCGACAGACTGTTCTCAAGAAGGAGATATGGTCATTCATAAACTGAGACAAAAAACAAAATGACCTTTAGGAATACCGAGAAAATGACTAGCTGGTAAACGCCATGACGTCATGACACCGAAGGACAACATGCGACAACAAGAACAGCCGCGCACGTTAATACGTTTCTCGGCGAAAACAAAGCGGATCAATTAACTGCTGAAGGAAAAGGACGCACTGAAGCGATTGTTGGAACTCAAGCGAACTTTGTTTTCACATAAAGAAATGCTGAAGGACAATGCCACGAGAAGCGTGACCGAATAACATTGAAAATTAAAAATCGGCAGGGCCATGACTGTGCGACGGAAGTGAGAGTTCAGGGTAATAAAGATGGCAGCTACAAGATCAGCTATTTCCCCAAAGATAGTGAAAGATAAGAGGCAGTAGTCAAAGTGAGCGAAGAACAAGCTCGAGGCAGTCCCTTTCCGACTCTAGTTAAACCCAGACAGTTCTGTCCTGTGTTATCTTTTGGCCAACGAGGTTCGTCTGCTTGAATGTTAAACAAACCCTGGGGAGCGGCAGTGAATGAACGCGATGAAATCGCAGTGACTGATACTGGTAACCACAGGGTTCAGGTATTCAGTAGAAACTGTGATAAACAGGGAAAACTCACTCGTCCCAGAGGAGAAGCATTTGATAAGAATAATAACATTATAGTGGTGGATACTCTTAACAGTCTTGTTTAACTGTTCAGTGAGCAGGGTGAGTACCTGAGCCAGTTTGGTGGTAAAGGAAATCTTGATCACCAGCTGGATTATCCTCATGGTTTATCTGTAGATAATAAAGGCAATATTATTGTTGCTGATAGATATAACAAATCGATTAAGATCTTTTCTCCTGATGGTCATTACTTAAATTATGTAAATTCAGGGATGAGGGTTCTTTTACCTTCCCTTCTCACTACTCTCAATATGACAAATATCTGATAGTGTCAGATGCAAACGAACATTGTATCAAAGTGTTTGCTGGAAATGGTAATATTCTATACAAATTTGGAAATAAGGGGGAGGGGGATGGGGAGTTCAATAACCCTCGTCATTTGTCAGTTAACAAGGTAGGACACCTGATGGTTTATGAGACTTCAAACCACAGAGTTCTGGTATTTGAGCTGAGTGGAAAAATTTTAACAAAATCTGGATCAAAAGGAAATTCTAATACTAGTCATAATGCATCATGTCCCTACTTCAAAAACTGATTGATAGCTTGTTTAGTTAAAGTTTGAATGTGTACTTTCAAGTGCTAAGTTGTGAGACTGCATGAACTTTGAGACAGAATAACAGAAGAAACCCATGCTTTATTCCTTTTAAACCCTTTTTACCTTAGCATCAGTATGCATATTCTCCACACTGTTCTTTATACATTTCCTAAAGGCACTGACAAGGAGAATTTGTTTGCTGATCTAAAAAGATTCTTTTCATGGTGATCATTCACTTTATTCTCATGACCTTAATGTGTGATTAAGGGCTGATATTGTAGGGAGAAATAAGAAGGTGGTCAATCTTAGGTTTTAAAGGGTTAAGTGGATCCATCATTCTTATTTTCATCAAGCGCCCTAAACAACCACCAGCTGAGTCCTCCTATCAATTGACGGTGGATGAAGGATGGTGGAATTTGCAGTGATGCTCAGTTGTTATTTATCAAATCCAACACTGTGATATGACAGTGATCTAAATCTTACAGAGTGTGTTGTTTGTTTTGTTTAGGCTCCCATGGGCAGAGTTACATGATTGATCAAGTTGCTGTGGTTATGCTGTTCAATGAACCTTTGTGCAAAGTCATAGACGCTTGGCATCCTTGTCAGAGTAAAAATTTACCTATGTTTTAAGTTTTGACAATCTATTCTTTTACGACTGCTCTCTAATAAGTAACTGGAATTTTTCTTTTTAATTCCGCACTTCAATTGGGTGGATAGCTCAGTATGTTTTGCTATCACTGATCTGCTAGATAGGGATTTATTAATTTTGTAGAATAGCCTCATACAGTGTATGCCCTCTATGCAACTGGGGCCTGTTCTGTAAGACTATGACACTCAGCTCTATTGAAATGTTATAACTTAATTTCACTGTGACATTGGATCACAATGTCCTCCATTGACTCAGAGGACTTGCAACAAAGTGGGATACAACCAAAACATCCTACAATTATTTATTAATCTTAAAAAGTGTAGCAAAATCAGCTACCAGAAGAAGGTTTGACTTTATTTGAAATAGTAAAAGACATCAGTTACTAATGACACTTCTCTCTTGTTTTGAGAGGCATTCTCACCTAATGCACAGGAATGCTTGACTGTAAAACTGATATGATATCATTTACAATTTTCCCACAGACCAAAAGATGATAAAAAGGCATTTAATTGTCACAATGTACTAACAAATTCTTTCCCTCAAACAGGTGATGCAGATTGACTCCAATGCTCTGCTTGACACATTGGAAAATTACCTCAGAAAACATAGGTAAATGTACATAGATGATCTTTCTAACATCTGTTGATTTTTTGTACTGAGTTCCTTAATGTCCAAGTGCCCTGAACCCTTTCACTCCCAAGATGAAAAGATCAATTCTCTGCTCTGTACTTCAAACATTTTTAACAAGTTTGGCTTTGATAATTTTTGTCAATTAAAACAATATACCCAAGCTAATCTTCTCCTTTCTTTCTCATTACCTTTTTATTTGAATTTGTGTTAATATTGTAAGGAGAAATTTCTTTTTGGTCACACTAGGTAGTACATGTACATGTGCATGTTTTATTTTACCATGTAACTCCTATAACTGACATATTGTATGTATATAGTATGGTAATGCTGTTCTACTTTCAACCAGGAGACACATGTGTACTGTGTTCAGACAAAAGCTGTTCACTTGAAGTTCATCATGATTACTTAGCTCATAATGGAAAGGGAAGAAAGAGGAAGGGCAAAAGCAAGGGGAAGAAGGTAAACATATAAGCCTCCTATCCACACCCCTTCACAATGCTTGATTATAATACAGTAAATGGTTTGAACCATGGGGTAACATGTAATAGTGTAGTTTGATCATCCAGGTGAGTGTAGTCCTAAGAAGGACTGTTGTGGGTAATGGTGACTGACATTTCAACAACCTGAGCGGAAGTCATCATCAGATTCAAGTGAAAGGTTGTTGTGGATTTGACTCTGATGATAACTTCCTCTCAGGTTGTCGAAACGTCGGTCAGCATTACCGACAACAGTCCTTCTCAGGACTACACTCACCCAAACGATCAAACTACACTATTGAATGCTTAAATAAGTTATCTCTTTTCACTACCATGAGCCACCAAGACAGAATTTCTCCTTACAATATCAATACAATCTCAAGTAGACAAGTGATGAGAATAAAGAAAAATATCATTTGGGGGATTGTAAGTTGATCCAATACCAAATTCTCCAAACTAACATCGCAAGAACTGTATGGCAGACAGTTAGGAGAATTACTAATGAGATCTTGGGAGTTAAAGGGTTATTGTGCGGTAGTTTCAATCGTCATGCAATCTTGTCACTCTAACCTAGGCGGTCACGCTTTTTACCGTGTTAAGCTTACGTGACTGAAGATGTTCAAATGTAATTTTGCAAATCGTTACGTTGTTCTTCCTCACTGTTAAGTCAGTGAAAGTATTCGCTCATTCATTAACTCATTCATTCATTCATTCTAGTGTTCAATAATGTTTTTATATATCTCTTTAGCAAAATTCGCCGAGACATGATAAGCAAGAAAAGCTTGTAGAAAATATTGATGACGAAGAAAAACGGCTCCTGAAGCTAATGGGTTGGAAGGATGGAGGAACAGAGTCAATGGTGAGTTATTTTTAACTATACTTCCGTCGTTCTATGGCGATTTAGGTTTTCCCTGGGATCCGATAACCCCAAGGGTAGAATATCCCCTGATCTCAAACTTCCTGTTGCGTCACGATTTGTGCTTCTTGAAAAAGTAAGCTTAAGTTTAGATAGTCTTTCTTAATTTTTATGTACAATCTGCTTAAGTCTTCTCCATCCTTAGCTATCTTTACTTCCTCCTAGTTTATCTTTAACATATCTTCGTTTGTCTTTATTATCGTGTTAGTATTTTGTATTCTCCGTCACGTTGAACATAATTCTGTGCACCACTGACCAGTTGCGACTGGTCACGCGATCATAAATTGATGCGTGACTGAGGATATGTCACACAAATATATTGGGATCGTGACCAACAGGATGCCTTTCTCCGGATTGATATACTATCGATTAACCTTAGTCGTCGTTCTTCATTTTACATCGTAGGAGTGTTTTTCGTCGGAGGAAGATCTCTGTATATCCGAGCAGGAAATTCTACGGTTCAAAGCGAACCAATCGTCAGTGTCACAGCAGCAACGGAAGCTTCGAGAGAAACTTCGCCAACAATTTAACAATATGACGCTTAAGGAGGGTCTCAACGTCGCTATTGTTCATTAGGCCTTGTTAAAAATGCACTCACAACAGGAGATGGGGAGATGGACGATAGGAAATGGGCAGCGGATAGTGAGGATGCGTGGGAAAGTGACTGAACTAGAGAGACAACTTCCCTGCCCGATCCATCTCGGTAGAATGTAGTCACGGGTTTCTGTAGTTACGGTGGAAAGATTGTGTGTGTGTGTGTGTGTTGTTTGTTGTATGCAAGTGAAGTCCGCAAGGTGTGCAACGATGTAGCAATGTTAATAAGGTTCTCCTTTGTTTTAATTCTTTATTTTAGTTTTACTCCCTGATTACACTGTAAATCAGGATGAGTTTACGTGAAAACGGAAATAAATCTCTTGAATCAGATACCGTCAGATATTAAACATCCAGGCTGGAATCTTTACTCGATTTATAGTCTTTGTTTTTAGTCGTTTTCACCAGAACCAAAGTTTATTCACTTGTCTCGGGAATTTCCCCCGTTATAGCAAATAGTAATTTGCGTTTGCGGCAAAACGAAAAATGAATTTCAGACTGTAACTCTTCATGGGGACTCCCTTTTTTGCTCGCTTTGACTTGTTCTTTCAAACTTATTGCTATATTTAAAATGTCCCTTGCTCGAACTCATGATAAGGCGAAAGTGTCTGCGGAGATGTTTGATGGAATATTTCTTCCAGAGCCTGGTGAACATCACTCTAATTAAGGATTTTATGCCAGTGTAATAAACAATATTCAATTGAAAGTGAGGAGTGTTGGAGATTTTAATAAGACAATTTGAATTTTTGACTATCTGCCCTTCGTCAATCTGCTTCTATGTGTTAAACGGATGGGGCCTGATGACCCAAAGTGGTAGAACTTGGCTCTGTTTTACTTTATACCCATACCTTCAGTAACAAGTAAAGTTCCTACAGAGGCCAAGAGTCTAATAACCAATTACCAAATCAAAATGAGACATGAAGTAATCAATTGTCTGTAACCTCCACATCTGACGTGTGTGGATTGATCACAGAGAGCTTCCCTGGGAAGGTGTCGACTTCACCCGAAGGAATGGGCAATTTCAACGGAAACGGATATTTACGTCGGAAGCGTGGCAAAGATCACAGTACTGGTTAGTTCCCTTTACTGGTCACAATAATTCTAAGCAACAGAACTGGGTACCCGCGGGGAAGTTACGTTTGAAAGACATCGTTCCCCTATACCTTCGTTCCCAATGCGTTTTTCCCTCGTTTACTCAGTTACCTGACTTTGGAATGCGCCTAATAAAATAGAGAACCTTGTTGAAGGCCTAAATGTAATAACTGTCCTAGATGTAATAACATTTGGTCCCAAATTTAATGAAGTCCTAAATGTAACAACATTTAGTCCTAAATGTAAAGCCTCCAATACAATCGTTTAACTCCGTCAGTGCATTGTTGTTGTAGCGGACATTCACAGTGAGATGTTTGAGTGACGGCTGTTGCATCGAGGAATCCTCTGACCAATATTCACGGTATATTGCGGGCTCGTTGATATTAATCAGCGTCTTTTTATTTGCTAGAGATGTAAGTCGAGAAGCAGTGGCCACAAACCCTTATACTGATGTGCTTTTGGCATCAAATTGACAGACATGAAAACAAATAAGCTTGGTCAAGAGAGAACATATATTCCACTTTCGATCTCAAATCGATCTTATTTCATTTTTTGTCTTTTTCTTTTCTCCCCGCCGTGAGGGGAGAAAATGAATAGATAAATAAATAAATAAATGAAAGAAGTAAGCTCGTCAGTTTGCACTTATAGTTACATGGCACATGACCCGATTACCGAGGTGGGGTGAAGCCATAAAGGGATCCCAGGTTCGAAAAATGTATATTCGAGCCTGCAAATTGTCCTACAAGTCAGCGGACTCCCTCGTCCAAGTTTGTAATTTGGTTTGTGACTTGTTAACTCGATCACTGATCGCACAAGTGTCACGTTATCCCATTTTTCTAAAGGCTATTGTACCTGAGAGTCTGAGCCAGTGATATTTAGAGAGAGATATAGGTCAGCGTACTTATTGTTTTGCCAGCTGTTATTTGATGCTATATTGTTTATCAGTATAACGGTTTGCAGCCAATATTTCTCGACTTAAGTCTAGCAAATAAGAAGACACTGATTAACATCAACGAGCCCGCAATATGACATGAATACTGGTCAGAAGATTTTTTGGTGCAACAGCTGTCACTTTAACATCTCAATATGGATGTCCGCTACAACAACAATGCACTAGCGAAGTTATACGATTGCATTGGAGGCTTATTATATTTAGGATTAAATTTTATTTCATTTAGGACTTTATTACATTTAGGATAGTTGTTACAATTTAGGACAGTTATTACAATTAGGCCTTCAACAAGCCTTTCCTTTCTTTCTAATGACTCAATATCTAAACTTTGTCGAAGATGTGATTTCATAATATTCCAATTTACAACCCTGTTACCTTGATCCTGAGCGTAAACACACCAAACGAAAGAAAACAATCCTTTCCGAAACAGCAAACAAACAGGATCACGTACGTTAGGGACCCTCCCCGCCATGGTGAAACGGATGCGAGGTTTCTCCTCTCCCTCCCTCGCTTCCGTAGGCCAAACGGGACCCTGGAAGGTGGATTTGAGATGTGCGTGACAACGAGTGGATACTGCGTCTCTAGAAAATCAATAGGAGTGACGAAAGATTAGGATCAGACTTTGACTTGGAGTGGCCAGTGGCCAGTGTGGAGTGGCGTACTCGATTTTCGGTTTTGTTTGCTACAATCCATAACGCAAAGGAACAAAAGACGTCGGTCCAGAGAGTAATTAAATTGCAAACCTGGCGTTTTTCAGTTCAGTTTAAGGTAAGTCAAAACAAGGATGTTCTGTGTATTTCGAAAGGCTTTGATGTAGTAAAAGATGGAAAGTCACTAGTCGACACTAGTCTTGTGACTAACGTAACGATGGGCTTGCTTCTCCGGCTCTATTAGTTGAAATTAACTTACTATCGAGATAATTGAGGGGAAAGTTTGCGACCAGCTTAGGTTAACGAGATCTGTAGAAGCTAGAAACGTTTTACCGTTTTAGTTAGATTTTTGAGATGAATTTACCGCTCTAAATTCAAATCATTAAGGAATCGAGTTACTGTTTAACCACACCAATTTTCCGTGTTGAAATTTACTGCGGATGCAACAGACGAAAACAAAATGTACTATGACAAAATTTCTCTTTTGATTTTGTTAGGACTTCACTAGTTTTGTCTGGTACAGGGGAAAGGCCGTGAGACAGCAAAATATTAATTGAAAGCAGGAGGAGGCTTAATATTTCGAATTTTTGCGAATTTCGTCGAGTACTCTTCCCTACGCTCGTAAATTACCAAAAGAAGCCCATTACTTGCACATGTCACGCGGTTCAAGATGAACCCGCGTTTTATCTTTCTTTTTCGGAGGCATTTCGTGTCATGTTTCAAATCAATTGTATTGCCCTCACGAGAAGTACTTCAATAAGTACAATGCACTCACGTACTTTTAATGTTTCCATAAATGGTACAGCATTTCCGGGCCTTTCTTCGAACGTAACGAAATTTTTTCAAACAAGGCTCCAACGGTAACCAAGAAACCTTGAACACTCTTGCCAAAATCATTGGGATCGTCAGAAAGAAAATGGGATTATAAACGCCATCGGATATTTGACTTTCCTAGTTTTATATTGGTCTCATACTAATTCTAAATTGCTGTGTCGAGTTAGTTGTGCAAAATTTAGTAGAGGATAAATTTGATCTCAGGAGCCATGGGTCGAATAACGTTTTTTTGTGGGGGGATCACACAATTTTTTTTAGGGAGAGCAGATGGGAATCAGTCACGCAAGAGATTACACTCTCTTAGCCATCGCTAACGGAGTATAAAGGAGGGACTGTCTATAAGGGTTGAGGGGGGTCATTAGAATATACACAGCTTAGAGGGATGCATAAGGAAAATTTTATTGTGACACGACCAAAATCCTCCTCACCCCTCCCCCCAGGCAACAATCTACGACCGGTCTCTTGTGTAATAGACTCAATTTTTATTGGCTTAACACTTTACACCCTAACATCAGCATTCATTTTCTCCATGCTGTTCTCTGTACATTTACTAATGTGCTGACAAGGAGAATTTGTTTAACAATCAAGAGTTTCTTTAGTTAGTGACCATTTCCTTTATTCTCATGACATTAATGTGTGATTCAGCGGTGATATTGTAAGGAGAAATTAGATACCAGTCACTCTTAGGAGTTTAAAGGCCTAATAGTGATGGTATATGAGCCATTATGAGGACAGCGGAGACCAAAACACCTGAAATGGTAATGTGAGAAAAAAAATTGACAAATCCGAACAACACAAACAAAAATGAGTTTTACTGAAGTAGTACAGTCGAACCTGTATTAAGCGGCACCGTATCAAGCGGTCACCTCGTATTAAGCAGTCAATTTTCAAAGACTCAAAATTAATTTTTTTCCTTATCAAGCGGTCACGGTCATCCTTTCCTGAGTCCCAACGGCCTACTTTTCTTCCACCTGTACTGAACGGTCACGAAAACTAAGAATAATCTTTCAAGAGAAATTAAACCTATCTATTTATCTACGTTTATCATCGTTTCTATATAATATCCCTATTATGTGGAACCTGTATTAAGTGGTCTGCCTGTCTCAAGCATTCACTGCGCCTTTCAACGTGGGTGACCACTTAAAACAGGTTTGACTATATTTAACAAAATTTGAAAATGCGTTCTTCATATTTTTATTATAAGGTTTGTATCTGCTGGAGGTAACATGGAAGGACAGAAATACAAGATGTGAGTGAAACACTTTGAAATTTTTAAATTAAAATAATTTGTAACACCCTCACTAACTCCACTCACAGAGTTTTTACAGTTTAGTTAATAACTTTGTGCGCTCTACACATAATTTGTGTTCTTGGCGATGACGTCAAGCATAACAATTTTTAATTGTGTACAATATCCTGAAGGCACTTGAAGCCTTGAATTAAAAATCTGAATTAGTATTGCTTAAAACTTCAAAGTAGTTCCTTTCTCGGGATCACTTATAGTCCATTTTATAGTTGTGTGCTTGGTTGCCAAGCCTTTGAACAGGAATGAGGCTAAGTGTGACCTTGTTATGATACAAACCTTGCTGCTTTTCAAATGCAAATTATTTTGTTATCATGCCAGCTAGATACTGGTCTCTATCACAACATAGTTAATCGAGGGGACCCAACAAGGTCTCTTTCAGCCTCACTCCAAATCAAAGGCTTGGCAACTAAGTACACAACTGTAAAATGGCTTATTTGTTTCGTTTTGAAAGCGAAAAAATTCACGGTAAAAAGGTCATTGCCTGTCTCGCACAGGCCTTCTAGTGTGAATTTCTTGGAAATTGTTTTGAATAAAGGCGACAGCTGAAAGGAAACAACTGGTAAACGTTTGGCAAAAACCAACGAGGACAATTCTACTGCAGACAAAAGGCTTTAAACTCCACGTGCACTTGTTCATCGCAAGATGGAAAAAAATGAATTTGAACCGCTACGGTAATTTCAAGTGCAATATTTCTCAATCTGACGTTTGTTTATAAACTTTTCTAAAACGTATTTATTTGCTCAGAGATTGATATCTTGCATATTGTAAGTTGAGCAATTTTCTTTCACAGGGAGGTTGAGGACGGCCCAGATGCAGATCAGAAAGTGGAATTAAAGTTTGAACAACGTCCCAAAATGTGAGTAAAAATTCGTACAGGATGTGGACTTCGGTAGAAGTTTTCGCTCCGGAGCAGTTGTAATCTCAAAGAAAGTTCTCCAAACAACTTAGTCATCTCTCTAAGTTTTATTCCAATTTGCCAGCGTTTAAGTTTATTAGCTGTGTGGAACTTAAAGTTCCAATTAGAATGATCGGTTTCATGGTAAACATCTTCGCTCTGTAAGACTGACGTGTTGAATCGCCATTGAATTCCGCGAAGTTGATTTGGAACGTATTATTCTTTCGCACCGTAATCGTGCTCGAAACAAGAGTCTTTGTGATGCTTCCTACTAATTTGCGCAAAACCATGAGAATGTTTATTTGGATCAGTTAGTACGTGAGATACAAAAGAAGCAGCAGGTTTATTGCACAGTTTTTCGAGAATTTCAAGATCAACGATTGTAATAGCTTTGAGCAGAAACGACGATTTGAATGTTGATTGCATGAGTGCTGATATTTTTCCTTTGCTGTTATTGTGTTATGGAGAAAGAAAACAAAGCCATCATATTGTTCGCTGGATTATCCAACAATTACTCTGTCAAACATGGCTCTTCTTATGACATAAACAGAACCGTAAATTACAGATCTGTTTACGTCATAAGGATACGCATAAGAGATGTTTTGACATCAGAGGCCCTAGGAAGAGAAGGAAGAGAAAACCTGTGTATGAAATGAAGGCTTGTACCTATTGTCGCTTGTCAACATCGGAGTTAAACACACCAGTTGAACTAGACCTGTTCTTTCGGCTTCATAATGTTACTGTTTATTACTGTGGTGCTTAAATGGTGAACATTTCTCTCTTAAGAGCATTTCGGTCTGTGGTCTTCGTAAACTGTTATAAACTCTCAATTGGATGAGTATGATTGTCAGAACAAAGGCCCTTTAAAATAGCATCTGGTTCGGCTGCTTATCGAACAAATATTAGCTACGGTTCATTAAGGAAAATTAAATTTGTTATAATCCTAAATTTGCATAAATAACTATTTGCCGGTGTCACAGCAGATTTGGACCCCCCGCGGATTTGGACCGGTGGATATGGACCCCCTTCGCAGATATGGACCCCTCCCCTACCAAATTTTCCTTTTAAACATCGTTTGTATCAATTAGCCGTCTCGTTCACGTTTACCAGACTACGCAAAGTTTGTTCTTTTCACGTTGTTGTTTTGCAAAGGAGGCAAAGAAATTTACAAAGATTTATGACGCACGTGTACAGCCATTGTTCTGCTTATTGAACCTTTTGTCTACTGACGTTCCCGTTGGCGTTGCCATCGTGGTTTTCTTTAACACTCCACTGACATTGATCCGACACTATTATCATGTTGTCGAACTGAATCCCTGAGGGTTCTGCGGTTCACTGGTGCGACACATGCATCTTCACAAGTTATTGTCATCTTCAAATCGGCTTCCTAGGTCGATGCGTATATGCCATTATCCTCAAACCGTAATTTCAGATTTCGATGGATGGTTTGCAAGAGACATTCTCTGATATGGGGTGATTTAAACATTCTGTTTACTTTTGTAGCTCCAAAAAATGGAAAATCATCATAGCAGTAGCGATTATCGTTGTGATTGTGATAATTCTCGCTATTGTTCTTGCCTTGGTGCTGAGAAAAAAAGAAGGAGAACAAGAAAAACAAGGAAAACAAGAAAAAACTGTGCCGGGGCCTACTGAGTTCATAGTGCCGCCGCTACCTACTGGAGGTAAGAGGCTGGACAGATACTGAAGCCAGTGCGCTTGCACGGCTGGAAATCGTTCTTAAATTTCATAACAAAATAATTCATAATAACATTTTGAAAGTTTTACAACGGTGATGCAGGTTTTTATTTCCTAGATTTAGTGTATACTCTGATCACTTTATTTCTTCCTTTGCATTTTGTATTAGGAGAGAATTAAATAGAAGAGATTACTTTAAAAAAAACTTGTTCTTCTCGAAATATTTATCAGTACTTCCCAAGATTTTAATCAAGTCTGACTGACTGATTTTAAAACTTAAGTTTGCTTTGATATTTTTAAAAAATTGGAAACCATCTTTTTTGCGGTTTCCCTTAACACGATTGATTTTTATACTGAAGAAGCATCTAACACTTTTTCTTGACTGTGGCTAATTGTGACGATCATGTCTTTTCACCTCACCCTAGCTCCCGCAGGGGCCGATGGACCTTACACTCACGGAGTAGTAGCAGCGGACGCCGCCCCTTGTTCAGTAGTGGGACGAGATATCCTCAAGAAGAATGGGTCAGCGGTGGACTCTGCCATTGCTGCCCTATTTTGTATAGGTATCATCAATATGCACTCGGCCGGCATCGGTGGCGGTGGTTTCATGACCGTGTATAATAGGAGTCTAGGACTGGCCAAAGTGTACGATTTCAGAGAAGTTGCTCCTGGGAATGCAAGCGCTAATATGTATGTCAACAGCAGCCTCAACTCCAAATTAGGTGAGATATAAAGGTTTTGTTCCTTTTGGAGGAATCCGCCCACGCTTAGCCAAAACGAGGAAATCATTTTCACCCACAATAGCTTGTTCATCACCTCACTGCGTTTCCGTTTTGAAAACGCTTACTCTTTAATGCGTTTTAACATATCGTCCATGTACACTTGAAAAGTTCAAAAGCGCTCATAGCGCTTTCTTGTCCCTGCATCCTGCGGGAACCGTGATGAACTGTGGGCACAAGGCCCACTACAACGCATCACTACAACACATAATGACATATGAGGCTACAGGTCCCGAGAACACAACACAATAACCCGGCCAAGGTTAAACTGAGCAGTTATTAGAAAAGCTTCATTGCTAAAAGATAACCTCCCCTTCCCCCACCTTTAACTGTAGGAGCTTCAGCCACAGGTGTGCCAGGTGAGGTCAGCGGATACCTTGCAGCATGGAAGGCACACGGAAGGCTTCCTTGGAAGGATCTAGTCCAACCGGCTATTGATTTAGCCAAGAATGGATTTCGATTTGGACATGCTGCACATTATGCGGCAAGCCGTAATTCCACGTTGGCAGCGATCAAGAAAGATCCTGGATTGAGGTAAAAAATGGGTTACTACCGTGAGAGGGATCTAGTGGGTTAGCGTGGTCACGATGGCCTGATAATTGGCCTCACTAATGCACCCATTACTCAGTCTACACTAATTCTTTAAATTGTGATTTTGCTCAAAATTAAGAGCGCCCCTCGGACGAAAAACTTTATGTTGCAAGTTTCGTGCCATACTTTTGTTTAATCTTGCTCTTAAGTATAATAGTCTGCCAGAATTTGATGAAAGATTTGTGGTTAGTTTCCTCGTGGTGATTTCGTCTTCGCTGTCGGGAGTAATCTCGGAACCGCAAAAAACACTTTACTTTGGCCTAGCTTAAAGTATACTTTAAGGAATTGTAGCATTGATTAACTGTGCTTCAAAATAGTTTTTTCTCTTTAGCTGTCAATAATTACATATCTATAAAACATGCTGAGGTTGAATATGAATTGAATACATTGTTCTCCTTTAGTTAACCTCATTTTTGTTTGCATGTCTATTTTCAGTGAATTACTGTTGGACAGTAAAGGAAACTTGAAGGAATTAGGAGCCGTTTTGGAAATGCCAAAGCTCGGTAGAACTTTGGAGCGAATTCGCGATGATCCAAGTAGTTTCTACACCGGCGAACTGGCTCAGGACATAGTAAAAGACATTCGCGATGGTGGGGGCATCATTACGTTGGAGGATTTGAAAAACTACCGAACGGTAGTTCGTACGCCACTTACAGTAAAGATGGATGATTACACTTTATATACGAACCCGCCTCCGGGTAGTGGCGCCGTCTTGTCGTTAATCATGAACATTGTGAAAGGTATGTGGTGTGCTGGTGTCGTAATTTCCATCTGAATCAGTCCCTCTGGTGTTTTTTTTTTCCCTGTTTCATATAGCTCGTTCCTGATGTTCAACTATTTGGTAAAACAGAGTGAAAGAAACGAAAGGCACGAGCAAAACAAAAAAAATCGAGTTTGAGTCGGGTCGCGCAAGGAACGTGACTCGACCCAACCCTCTCTCCTTTTCGCGCAGCTGCAGCAATTGTGCCATTTACAATCCCGCCACGTTTTACTGATTGAGTGCATGTAAGAGGCTAATCTATTTAAGGTTAAGATCAGAAGGTCCTGAAGTTCGATTTCCAAGCCGGCATCTTTGAGAATTCCACGAAAGGATTATGTGGAAAGTTTAATACTAGCATGCGAGGTATCAAAGGTAGTTCATTCACAATGATAAACCAGAACAGAGCTAGATGTCACTGAGTCACCTAGAATTAAAAATAAAAAAAAAAACAGCGTGATAACTAAGGTTTGCCAAGGCTGGAAACTGAAATTAACCCAACAGCGACCCAAAATAATCTAAGGGCTTATGCGGCATAATCTAAAAGTTGTTATGACGCAATTAATTTGTATCATTTGAAATGGCTAGTTCAGAGTTGAATACATTTAGTTATGAACTTCGATAGCAAAAAGAAAGCATAGCAAAATAAAAACTAGAATGTATCACTCTCTTTGCTGAGCAGCTTATCTCTGTCTCGCACGTGGTAATGAAACTTTTAAGAGCGGTAATCACTGTTGTTTCACAGGTTACAATATGACTGCTGCAGACCGTAAAGATATAAACAGCACAGTGCTAACTTATCACAGGATAGTGGAAGCTTTCAAGTTTGCCTACGCTTACAGGGCATTGCTGGGAGACGAAGACTTCTGGGACGTAGGAGAGGTAAGGCCTCATTTAAGTTCATAAGTGAAAAATCCATAAATTCTCTTCATTCAATTTATCACTGCTGGAAAGTATATATATATTTTTTTAGTTAAGATGTAACGAATTAGTGACAGTAACAGAACTTTGATATGCATGTTTGGTATTATGCTATTGCTAATGTTGGATTTTTTTCTTACTTTTTGTAATCACGATTGCTGTTGCTTAGGGACCATGTGCGCCCTTGCTCTAGAAGTTTTATGTCAATATTTGATTAAAATGGCATGGACGACACTAACATAACATTGTTTTCCTCCTCTACTACGGTCACAGGTCCCTTCCCTAAAACCAAAAATCTAAAATGGAAACGCTACATCCCCTTGTAAACATCCTTACTTTTAACTATATATGCTCAGGACTCAAAAATTGATTCAGTGGCCTGCATTATTGCAATCTTTTTAATCAGTGCTCATCTTTTTTCCAAGTTTAAAAAAAATCTGTCGTGTAGATTGAGAACCGCTTAAATTATCGGGCAAATTAAGGTGGCTCTGAACCTACTCCACATTTCCCTTCTACTTCTGTCGGCGATAAATATCCGAGTTTGCCCCCTACCTTTAAACTTTTGGCAAATCTTTTGAAGTGATACTGAAATATTTCTTAGCGAAATCAGCGTTTAGCGCTTAATACATCAATCTTTGTTTCCAACAGATTGTACAAAATATGACCAGTTCAGCGTTCGGAGAAAGTCTAAGACAAAAGATTTACGACAACCGAACATTCGACTACAAACACTACGGGGACTTCTATTCTAGCGTCAATCCCGCAGGGACTACGCACCTGTCTCTGATTTCTCCTGACGGGGATGCTGTCTCCGCTACCACCACAGTAAATCTTTAGTAAGTCTTGCCATATACAACCTTTTTTTTTTCAGAAACGCTTAGTGTTAGGGGAAGAAAACATATCTAAATCATATATCTTTTCGTAACCTATGAGCACTTTCCGAATGAGTGTCGAAGGTAAACCAGATTGTTTGGTTTTACTGTACTATACGCTCCGAGATTTGTTATGAGATTCTGCGTTACCGTCTGAACCAATCACATGCAAGACAGCAACTAATCGTGACTTGCTAACTCTCTTTGACCTTTTCAAAACAAGTCACGATTACTCTTCATGGGCGTAGCCAGGATTTTTGAAGGGGGGGGGGTGGAAGTGTCACACTGTGTGGGTACTCACCAGTTTTCGCCACTTCACCATTGTAGATTGTTAGCTTGAAAAAAGGCTTATAAGGAAAGGGTCACATGCACCCGAAGACCCCCATTGCAAAGCCCTTGACGTTGTTCTCCCTAAATCAGCTTCCTCCCCCCCCCCCAAAAAAAAACCTATTCCAACTTCTGAGACTAAGTTGTTTGATAGCATAATTACACCAAGGTTGTTATGGGAAAATAGAAATTACTTCTGCACGCAGTTAACCTGGTATTAGCATCAATGGAGCGTCGCATAATCCTACGAAACTGAAAAAGGTGTCGGAGCTGGTCGGATGCCGTAACTACGAGTCACACTCGATAGACCCTTAAAAAGCTTTTGAAGGCTTCATCTGTGCAATTCTATGATCACGTTATTAAATTATTAAAATAAAAAAACGTCTTGCACTTCTGAGAAGTGAATCCAAAGTCTTACACCTTATCATATTAAGCTATTTATTCTGTCTTTTTTTTTTCTTTAACTGCTAACTCGCAGCTTTGGGTCAAAGTATCGCTCGACGCGTACTGGCATTATTTACAACAATGAAATGGACGACTTTTCGACTCCAGGTGAAATTAATTATTTTGGTGTGGAACCATCACCGAGCAACTTCATCGAACCTGGAAAACGACCCATGTCTTCAATGACTCCCACCATAATTGTAGACCATAATAACGTTACCCGACTAGCTGTCGGGGCGTCGGGAGGCACAAAAATTACAACTGCCATTCCTTTGGTAAGATGTATTGACTCAAGTGAAATTTTTATCAAGTGAACGCATGTTGACCTTTCACACCCTAACATCAGAATGCGTATTCCCCATACTATCCTGCTTACTGTTCCTGGGTATATATAGTTGTGACAAGGAGAATTAGTTTATCAATCAAGACCATCTCTAGTTTGTGATCATTTCCTTTATTCTCCTGACCATAATGTTTGATTCAGGGATGATATTTTTAAGAGAAAAAAATAGATGATGGTCACTCTAAAGGGATTAAATTATTAAAAGGACACCCTATATTTAGAGAGTACTGAACAGCCCCCGTGCAACGGATTTCTTCTTAATGCATGAGTAAATAGATGAATAATTGGAACAATGTAGAAATTTGTTCCAATTAAATATACCTGATCCCCCCTAAGGTTCTGTTTCTCCGCCCCTCATTGGTATGCGCAGTCAATTTTCTACAGCCCCCCCCCCCCAGTTATACTCTGTTAGTGAAAACTGATCTCCCCCTCCGTCCTCCCCGAAAACCATTTTATTTTCCCCAAAATTCACTGACCTATCCCCCACAAGTGATAAATAATTACTTGCTTCCTCCCCCCCCAAAAATTGTGTGCATCCTACAACTGTTTTTCAAGCTTTTTTTTTTCTTTGGAACGTGGTTGTACTTACTGTAGAAATTTATGTTTTTGAATGGAACAGGTGGTGATGAACTACTTCTGGTTCAATCAAACGTTAACAAAAGCCGTAGAAGAACCCAGGTTCCATCATCAACTACTACCAAACTTCCTTCGCATCGAAAGAGTCCGCCCCATTTCCCTTACAGTTCAAGAGGGACTGAAAAAGCTTGGACACAACATTACAGAATTCTCCTCTGCAGTGGTACAGGCGGCGGCCATAAGCCCTGATGGTAAACTTTACGGAAAGGCGGATCCCAGAAAGGGCTCCTGGGCCGCAGGATTTTGAAGATGATTTAAAAAAGAGAGCTGATAATGTAGTTAGAAACATGTTTAAGCATACTTGTTATCATCTGCTGCTTAGCACTCCGGCGAAGCTTTTTGCAGAGGGGAAAAGACCCATTAATCACGAAAATTTTTGTAACTTTTGTGTAGTTTCCTTTTGTAATTTGATGAGCGATGTCTTAAAACAACAGAAGACACTTTCTCTTTGCCACTAAGCTTTTCGTTAAGATATTTATTGTCCTACTTGGTTATCAATACAGATGTATAAAGTGGAAAGAAAACAGGTTGAAGCTGTTGACTGCGATATGTCAACTGCTATACTGTTACTCTTTGTTAGACAACGAGATTGAGGGCTAGTGGCGCTGAATCGAGACGTCATCGCACTAGTTTTGCCTTGTGTCAAATTCGCTTTAAACCTTTCACTCCCAGATGGCATGAGTAATTCATCTCACTGTCCGTCATACAATTCTTATAATGTTAGTTCGCAGAATTTGGTATTTGATCAACTAATCATCCTCTAATCCCCCTGACGTTTTTCATTATTCTCATCACTTTTCTGCTTGATATTGTAATGATATTTTAAGGAGAAATTCTCTCTTGGTCAATCATGGGAGTTTAATTAAAGGGTTAACTCGGAGTCTACAAAAGGGGATAAGTTTCTAAAGAAACTGTGGTGCTGCGTCGGTGGGAGAGTATAACAGGGTAATTTAGTATTATCAACTCAGTTAATAACGTAAATTGGCCACCGTAAAGATATTATTTTAGCTCATACCGACAACCGACATGACCTCTAACGTACTCAACTTCGTCATCGAAAAAGCCTTACAATTTACTTGCCTAGTATCAAGTATCAATGGGTGCGAGGTTCTGCTATTACTCGAGTTGCAATATTTGAATAATTTAGGGTCACAAAAGGGCGGAAAACGCTTCTTTGTAGTTGAGAAATTTCGTTTAAATAAAGAATTTAAAAACTAAGAAACGAATGCAATAGACTCTAGGCCATTAAAAATAGAAAACGTAAGTCAAATTTCACAGCTCTGATATTAAAAACACCTATTTTAATTGCGGTAGAGCAGCTTAGGAAATAAAAGTGAGAAGTAGTAATAATTTCTGTTCAGTTATTTATGCGATGTTGGTGTTAAGTTTGGAAATATGGCAACGTGAGAAAATTGTCCTATGTAAGGAAAGCAAACTTATCAGCTGACAATTTCCATGAGAACCAAATTTTCAGAAAGATCATCAACGCTTATATTTATATTTCCAGAGAGAACATTGACACTTTTATTTACATTCTATTTCAGTAGTAATGGTCATCAAGGCACCGACACTGAGATGTATAATGAAAGGCAAAGTAACCAGCAAAATGTACTAGTTTGCTATTCAAAAACTACTGTGGCTTTTCTATATTTTTTGAAATACTAGAGCGAAAGAACTTGAATGAATCGAAAATGGTTGAACATGAAAAGTTTTTGAGTAACTATGTTCCAAACACAATGAAAACTTACTAAATTTTCTGTAACACAATATTATCGAGCACTTAAACTCAATGTTAACTGCCCTAATAGATTTTCCAGTTTCACCGAGAAAAGGGAGCTTCCCTCGATGCGGTAGATTTGATCCGGTGGTGTTTGATGAAGGTTGGAGAAATGGATATAGTAATCTTATTTTCTCCGTGAGCAAGAATTTTCTGCTTTATGCGGTTGATCCGTTTGGCAGCAAGGGTTACGACTATGCAGCGACTTTGATGATGAGACAACTGCCTAATAATTTAAGTGAGAGAAGAGGATGCAAAATTAGGCGAAGAAGTCCGCGTTGTAAGCCTTTCCATTTCCTCTCATGCCCAAAAAGCAACAAAAGGGGGAGGTTAGGAAGGGGAAAGAATGGCTCATTCTTTTACTTCCTTACCCCGTCTCTCTGCTCGTCGTTTTCTTTGCTCCCTTTGCCCCATGCTCTCGCGCGGCTCATGCTCGGCTTACTCTTCCCCATGTGAATAAAAGGAGTCGGAAAAGACTTTTAACACTTACTCCTTGTAATTTGTTCTACTACTGTATTTCTATGCCAGGCAAAAATGGTTTTAGATTTAATCTAATCGGTTAAGGGGGGTGCTGAGAGTTTCTAGAACAGTCAGAGAGTAAAGATAAGCAAAGCCAAGTCAATCACGGATTACTTTCGATAGGAGCCCATGGACTCCTGCTTTCGATGCTCATCTGAAAATTGCTCTGAACCATTTGCACTGAAAGAAACGAACTATAAATACGACCAAATTAAATTCAGGGTGAGGAAAGATTGACTATTACACTAACTGCAACAAAAGTTGCACTGTATCAGGTACTCCTGAGTGACGAAAAAAAATATTACATCCTTATTTCATTCAGGCAGCCCAATAGAGAAAACGTGCCTGCCTACAGCAAACTCTGATACAGCTTTGATAACTTTTTCCGATAACTGATAATAACCCTGTATTTTGCCTAAATGCTGTTGAATTTTACTTAAAACAAAAATTGCCTGTTTAATATCTTATCAACTTCTGCATTACTCGTTTTGTTAGGAACGAGGGGCAAAAATTAAAAAAAAAAAACATCTGAATCCCTCACGCGAAGTTGAACCTCCGAAAGCTCCGATGGTCAACCCTTGAGCTACAGAGCTGTCATGGTCGTCATATCAACAATTATTGTGTTTTGACGGTGATAATTAGACAATGAATCTGGCTAGGGTAAGGACTGTCAAACCAGTGTCATTGTTTCTACAAGACCACCTGTCTAGTTCGGCATGTCGTGTCCAATCTATTATTATGTGCATGAATATCATATTGCTGTTATAAAAGAGACCTGTATTACATTAGCATGTTTTGAAGACGCGGTTAAATTACGCCAACCGGAACCGCCATCCTTTGTTGCCCTGCAAAACGGTTACGTGACTCCTATCCAAATTTGCGACAGGTTTGTTGTTTAGCTCAGTGAAGGCGACAAAACAAGTTCAGGCAAACATGAGCAGTGGTGATAACAAAGTTATATTTGAGGGTGAACCAAAACACCGCGAAAGGTGAGTCAAACAAACTGCCCTTGGAGAAATCTAGGAAATGCTCGCGGCAATTAGCAGGCGCTTTCGCTGCAAAAAAGAGTCTGTTTTAAGCAAAAGAAGTTCAATTTGAAGACGTACATTTAAAGAATCGAAGCAAGCTTACGGATAACGAAGGGGTCCGAAGGGGGAGGTAAAATTCGTATCGTGGAGGACTATCGTGTCAAATGGAGACAGGACTATCTTGAAATTTTGTCTTGCCTGTCAGTGCCTTCTAAATTAGTGTCAAGGCGTCTTTTTCAGAGGACGAGTAGGACTTTGGACTTCTTAATTTCGATCGCTAGGGCTTTTCTAATAAAGCTGTGGAGGTGGAAAATAGACACCGAGCTGAAAGAGACGGCGTCGTGTGACAGAAGTAGTATTGTCAGATACAAAACATACCTATCAACGAAACTGAAGTTGATTTCTGTCATCGTGAACCTGCTAACAGCAGTTGTTGATCAATAGGCGATGCTTATCGTAGGAAACATGTTGCTCTGGGAAACCGTGCGATGAACACCAACCGATAGACACGAGCGGCGCAATAACAACAGAACAAATCGAATTGCAAATTCTATTCGAGAATAAATGATAGCAAGATTAGTTTGTATTCGAAAACTGTTTCCTGTTTCTGTTGTTTACCACAGTAAATGAGAACAAATAATTGTGTTGACAGACAATGGATGTAAGACGTAGTGAACCAGGGAATGTTTTCTTTTTTAAGAGAACTGAGTTAACTTCAATAAGAATTTGTCCAGGCACGTTAAGATCAGAGTGTTTTGTTTGATTCGTTTTGTACCATTCAGAGCAGAAATTTTGAAGAACCCCTCATCCAAGTTCAATCAAGTTTATTCCCCATTGCGTGATAATTGAAGTGTCTGTTTTGTGGCGGTATAACACTCTATTTCTTGGTTTTATTTGTGAAGATGCGTTTTCCTGTTGCGTCAATTCTTGAGGGCCTGACTGAACGATCAGTTAAAAATTTTTTCACTCACGCTTTAGGTATTTTTAAGCATCAATCACAAACTTTGCTATGATTAACGCAAACAGTACTCCAAGAGTAAGAGTCACATGCTGTGGAAATATGTTCACAGATGTTGATAGCAAGATATAAAAGTGAAAAATATAGTATCGCAGTATTATGGCGTGACTTTTAAATATTGCAAACATTGGTTTCTTGAATAAATAATTGAAAAATAATTATTCATAAAAAGAACCCCTCGCGTTTTGTTTGCAGTCATCTACATTTGGAAATACAGGTAAGATCGTCCATGTCGATGACAAGATTGAAGGGTGCCGAAGCGCCTTAAAGAGGCGTTCGGCTCGAGTTTCTTTAAAGATGAATCTTACCTGACTAAAATTTAAAAAACAAAGCTCAAAATTCATCCAAAGGTTGTCGGAGGACATCATACAGAGATAAGCTATTTGATTTTCGGCAACGGAATAACTGTCACAGTTTATTTGTTCACTCGAGCATCACCGTCTATAAGCTTGTGTGCTTCTGCCATCCCCCTCCCTACAATGAGGTTGTCTTGCAGAGCGCTATACACATCATCGTAGTCTATCAAGTAGCTATGGCGTGTTATCAGGGTCAATAAATGTTACATTTCAAAATTCGGACTTTGCGTGTGTATCATGATTCAGCACAACAAACGCGCTGCAAACAGGAATTCATTTTTAGCAGGAGATGTCGAGGTAGAGTTGATTCATATATAGGTATCCAGCAACAACAGCAACTATCAGAAAATAAAGTAATTTCAAAAATTGTGATTGCAAATGAAAATATGGGTTTCGAAATTAAACTGAAATAAAATTTGCCAAGTAATTTAACCCCTGACAACGGGCCATAAGATTCCGACTGAAAATAATCTGCGTAGCAAGCCTTTCCAAAGTAGGGAGGTGCTTATTTTTGCCCCAAATTGCAGCCAGTGATGATCATTATTAAAACAACATAACGTTTACGCTTTAACAGCTCAAGTAATTTTTTCAAACCTAATGGGCCTGTTCTTTACACAAGGTTCAACCCAAACCACGGTTTTACGCAATGGATTTCGTGCTTTCTCTTTAAGTGGGTTAATTTAATTAAATAAACTGATGTCCTTACACTGTCAGCTTTCGACCATCTTGACATTGTCCACAGAAAAGATGTGTTCAGATAAAAGGTCCAGCGAAATTTAGGATTGTTTAGGAGGCGGTTTTGTTAACATCGGCTAACTGAACTTTGTTTGAATAAACAGACCAACGAGTCCACGTGTCAATTAAGTGCGCTAAACTGACAAGCAAATCAGGAATCCTGTTTTATGTACGTAACCAGTGGTCCCAACTCGTTTGACAAAAGTCATTAACCGCTAGTTAAAATGTAGGCGGGGGGAATGGACTCATTTTCGATGGAGGCGCAAATGCGAAGATTCATGACATCAAAAAGTAGTCACTACTGTTCAACAATAAAATCATTCGCCGTGTTTCGTCTCGGCCAAGAGACTCATTAGGTAACTTTCGTAACTTTTGTTGCCAATTGTTTGAGCTTTACGCGCAAAGTCTTCTCGCTCATAGAGGTCGCGTCGTTCCAGCCATAAACTATTTTTACAATCTCAATCTTGATTTCACGTTACTGTGTTCAACAGATCAACAAAGCGACGGATGATCATCATCCTTGTCCTCGTCGTTCTTGTTGTGGTAGCCATCATCATCACACTTGCAATAGTTTTCACGAGAGACAGAGACTCCGAACCAGACGTTCCTACTTCGCAGCCCATCCTTCCTCCTCCTACTGCACCACCGGGAGCAGATGGGCCTTACAAACATGCCGTAGTTGCATCGGATGCTGGTCCCTGTTCGGAGATAGGCCGTGACATTCTTAAAAGAGGAGGTACGGCAATGGATTCAGCAGTCGCAGCCTTGTTTTGCATCGGAGTCTACAATATGCATTCTGCTGGTGTGGGCGGTGGTGGGTTCATGGTTGTGTACAAGAAGGGCACAAGGTCTGTGGAGGTAATCGACTTCCGTGAAGAAGCCCCAGGGAAAGCCAACAGAACGATGTATGTAGGAGGAAAATTGGACTCTAGAATCGGTAAGTTACTTTTCTACGGGAAATTTTCCCGATCCTCTTTCCCTCTCAATTTCGTTATACCTCTTTAGTCTCCTTCGCAGCTGTTGCTGGCTATCGTCACGCAACGTGCTATCTACCCTACCTAAGAGCGCGTTGCGTGACGTAACCAAACAACGTCTACGTAGGAGACTATACCTCTTCAGTGCCAAGTAAATAATTCTATTGTAATTTCTGTCTCTTTCCCATCCAGGCGGAGCAGCTGCGGGTGTACCAGGTGAGGTAAAAGGTTTTTACGAAGCTTGGAAGAAATACGGGGGTAATATACTGTGGAAAGACTTAGTACAACCGACCATTGACATGGCGAGGGACGGATTTCCTTTTGGACCTTCTGCTTATTACGCTGCAACACGGTCAAGTGTAAAACCGCGCCTCAAGGCAGATCCTGGGTTGAGGTTTGTTTAATGAACAAAGAACATGTATAAATATCCTTCCTCACGCGGGAAAAGCTGCTCTGAAATTAGGTCTTCACATAAGTTGGTTAGTTCAAGAAATTAGATGCTGCATCATAGCCTACACTATTGGCTTATGGATGCACGCGGGAGGTTGCTACGCACTCAAAAAGCTCAGGTCGCCATCGGCTATCTCCTCGAGCGACTGTTACGCTTCTCTCGTGCTTTGCAAATCTTCCGCGTGCATCCATAACCGAGAAAAAATCATGGATCCTATAATTTTCTCAATAGTGTACGCTGTGGTGTTTATCATTTGTTTTATAACATGACGTCGATACATTGAAGCTAAAGAGTTCCCCTTTCATCGAACTAAAAATGTTCGTGTGGTCTTACACGACCAGACGTTTTGTCGCGCGAAAGCTAATCATTGCACAATCTGCAGCGCTGCCTAAGTCGTCAAAACAATCGAAGATAAATGTAATCACGTTTCCTGAAATTCATTCTGAGCTTTGTATCCATAAACAGTCGGTGCTTTTCTTCAATCACGAGCAAATTCCTCTGAATTGAAATAAAACTCCCTGGATTTGTGTGCATAAGGTTAGATCGCACTGGCAATAAAGAGGGATATGGCGGAGTTGCTATGTATGTTAGAGAAGATTTGGCGTTTCGTTTGCGGAATGATATCAATACTGGTGGACAGGAATGTTTATGGATTGAGTTAATTCGAGATAAATGTAAGCCAACGTTATTATGTTGCGCTTATAGAGCACCAGATGCCGATCTCCGCACTTTTATTTCGTCTCTGCGAGATAGTATGCCTGCTGTTGATCTTGAAAAATCGGATGTGGTCATTTTAGGAGATCTAAACGCAAACATGATGCCTAATTCAAAATTGCCCAAGAAAGACAAACAACTACTTCTCAACTTCTCGCGCGCTTTTGACTTCACACAGCTGATAAAAGAGCCTACTCGAATATCTGACACCTCACGAACCTTGATTGACCTGATTTTTGTCAATAATGAACATCGCATTGTTAAATCTGGTGTTGTTCCGTTTCCATTGAGCGACCATTACCTGGTGTTTTGCATTCTAAAGACTGGTGTGCACACAAAAGCACATCCAAGAATGTTTGAGTATCGCTCTTACAAGAATTTCGATGCGAATTCATTTAACGAAGATCTTAGGAATGTTCCTTGGCACGTCGTTGACAATGAAAACAATATCGATGACGCTTTATTAACTTGGAACAAACTGTTTTCAGAAGTTGCAGACGATCATGCACCTGTCAAACGACGACGTGTGAAGGGAACACCTCTTCCTTGGATGAATAGCAAAATTAGCGAATCAATGAGAGATCGAGACTGGTATCATCGTAAAGCACGTAAATCGAACTCAGAAAAGCACTGGAACACTTACAGGAAACTGAGGAACAAAGTAAACCGCTTAGTAAAATCTGCTAAGTCGAAATATTACTGTGACATGATCGAGGAAGCCAGAGGAGATCACGGCAAAATGTGGAAAGCTGTAAACGAAGCATGCAATCGTAATTCATCCTCAGAAAAGGTTCAGTGCATCATTTCCGATGGCATTCAGCACACCACTTCCAAATCCATTGCTGTTGCTTTGAATAGCTTCTTTGCATCCATAGGCAAGCGCCTAGCTGACAAAATAACGACTACCTGGTCGAATTGCAACTTGGTTTTAGAACAACCGTTGTCTCAGTTTCAGTTAACTGAACTAGAGGAATCGTTTGTGCTTCAGCAGCTTACCTCTTTGAAGACAAATAAAGCAATTGGTTTGGACAAAATTAGTGCTAGACTACTCAAGAGCTCTGCTAATACAATCACTCCCTCCATCACTAAGCTGTTGAATCGATCGATTCTTACTGGTAAATTTCCTAAATTGTGGAAATGCTCAAAAATTACAGCCTTGTTTAAATCTGGCGACCGGTCAAATGCATCGAACTATCGACCTATCTCTATTTTACCGACACTCAGTAAAATTCTCGAGAAAGCCGTGCATTCCCAGTTGTACCAATACTTGGTTATTAACAACCTTCTCACAAGGAAACAGTTTGGATTCAGGAAGGGGCTCTCTACTGAATCTGCTTTGACATCATTTGCTGATGAAGTCTTATTGAACATGGAACAAGGTAAACTGTGTGGGGCCGTGTTTTTGGATTTAACCAAGGCTTTCGACACCGTGGACCATCGGATTTTGTTACGCAAGCTTTCCAAAATTGGTTTAAGTGAGAACTCGCTTCAGTGGTTCCGCTCTTACATTACTGACAGGAAACAGCGTACATGTTGTGGGAATGAGTTGTCTGATGAATTGCCAGTTACCCATGGGGTCCCTCAGGGAAGTATTCTGGGTCCTCTGCTATTTGTCATCTACATTAACGATTTGCCAAGCGTTCTATAGATGCCTGTCAAGCATCACTTTATGCAGATGATACGGTGATCTACTGCTATGGGTCTTCCTCTCAGGAGCTGACTGAAAAGCTCAACCAAGACCTCCTGGCTGTGGCGAAATGGCTGAATGAACATAAGTTAACACTGAATCTGGAGAAAACCAAATGCATGCTTATAGGCAGTAACAAGAAGTTACAGAGGAAAATAGCTCTATCTGTTTCAATCTTTGATCATTGTATAAACAATGTTACTTGTTTTAAATATCTTGGAATCTTAATATCGTCTGATTTTTCGTGGACAAATCATGTCGAATACATGGCAGGGAAAGTTAATCAAAGGCTTGGCCTACTTAGACGCATTAAGCATTTGTTACCGTTTAAGGCGCGCATCCTTTTTTATAAAAGCCTTGTTATGCCCTTATTCGAGTATGCTGATTTAGTTTGGGGAGACAAACATAATGTAACTTTAATGTCTAGTTTGCAAGTGCTTCAAAATAAGGTGGCTAAAATAATATTAGATCGACCACTGTATTCCTCTGCGTCTGATGCGTTAACTACACTGAAGTGGTTAACACTAGAAAAAAGGCGCTTCCAGCGCCGATGCGTACATGTATATAAATGTCTTAATGGTCTCACGCATCACGAATTAACATTAGTCACTCAGCAAGAACAGCATAGTTACAACACAAGAAATAAAGCAAACCTCAAAATTCCATCCGTTAAAAGAAACTGGGGTAAACAAAGAACTGGCTATCATGCTGTAAGTGATTTTAACTCGCTGGACAAAACTATACGAGCCTCTGATAATGTAAATATTTTGAAGCGTCAGATTTTTAATTCATTGATTTAAGTTTTGTATTACACATAAGATACATTAGTTTTTAGTAGCATCTTTTAGCATTTTTATTCATTGTAAATTTTTAATTTTTAATTTTCGAGGTCCTTTTTGTAAACCACTTTTTAGTGAAAAAGTTTCCTCATTAAAGATTGTCATTATTATTATTAAACAGAGCGCGCGATTTACGTTGGTTTACATATATTATAATGATGGGCTCCTAGCAATGACAGGAGGCTTATAAAAACAACCATCACTATGAAAAGGATGGAGCACCATTCCCTAAAGCCCGCGGCCTTGGACAAACCTTACGGTTTAGGTAGCAGCCGTCTGGATGGCTCTAAGTCCCAGGCTAGTCATTCGGCACTCTCAGTCCTCTTTTGCTGCGTAAAGATTGGGGTGAAGTGGACGTGTGTCTCTTGATGATATCCTGACTGACTTTGGAACACTGGGGACTAGATTCCGCATGCACTACTAATAGCATGTACCAGTAATAGCATCTGCTAGTAATACTTCGAAGGCCAGATCGTGATTGCTATCCAATGGATAAGTGTAACATGACATGTTATCTAAAGAATAACCCCTGTTATCACGCATGTTCGACCAATGTTCGAACTAAGCTTTGATCTAGATTTCTAAATTGTATGATTTGAATAGCTAATCTTCGAAAGAGACCTTCACGTTCGACCTTAAAAAAACTGATAATTCCTCTCAAAAAAGTGTTTAGTCGAATTTTATTATTTTTCTTTTCTTTTTCGAAGGCAACTTCTTTTCAATGAAGATGGTGAACTAAAGAAGTTAGGAGAAATTTTATACATGCCGAAATTTGCACGAACCTTGGAACGAATCCGTGATAATCCAGAGGATTTCTATTTCGGAGAACTAGCGAGAGATGTTGTACAAGACATTGAAGATGGTGGTGGTATTTTCACCCGGGACGATTTGAAGAACTACAAAGTGAAGTTCAGGAAACCTATGGAAGGAAAGTTCGGAGAATATTCGTGGTATTCTACTCCACCCCGGGGAGTGGCGTGGTGTTAAGTTTTATCCTCAATATCTTAAAAGGTATGTCGAGGCATGTCAGGGGAGGGGCTCGGACCTGGTTTGGAAAAAAGGTCCTGAGAATGGTACTGCTTATTAGCTCTTTGATATTCACATGTTGTTTTTCCTCAAGTTGTTTCAAGATTTATTTTTATTCAGGATTATGGTAATTCGCCGTTAAACGTCCACGACCAAACGTTTTGAAAAGAGTCAAGTTTCTCCGTCACTTTTTCTTTATTCTATAGGATACAATATGAAACCTTGGGATCGACATGGAATCAAAAACTCAACCCTTACATATCACAGAATTGTGGAGGCTTTCAAGTTTGCTTACGCTTACCGAGCATTACTGGGTGACCAAGACTTTGCAAATGTTACGGAGGTAGGGTAGTCCTGTGGCTTATCTGAGATAGCTATCTCGTGTTACATTGCTTAGAATCATTAACCAGCTGTCCTAAAAGTTCCAAGGAGTCAAAAAACGAGTCTGCTAGATCCGTTTTCTCCGTTGGATGCTCTACCAACTGAGTTATCGAGAATCCTTTGGTGGACCAGCCATGTGCTAGTTCCTAAGAATAACACTGACCTCCTATCCTACATCTCGCAGATCGTCAAAAACATGACTGACGCCGACTTTGCCGAATCCATCCGCCAGCAGATTTGGGACAACCAGACATTCTCCGATTACAAACACTACGGCGACTTTTATCACAATTCCAGCCATCAAGGAACTTCACATTTATCTGTTATCGCCGAAAATGGCGATGCTGTTTCTGCAACCACTACGATAAATCTTTTGTGAGTATCCGATGTAGTGGGGTTTCGTAAATTCAGCTGGGGATCGGGGGTGGGGAAAGATAGGGATATGCATGTGCTTGTAGCCTGGCCTCTTATCCTTATCTGCCCTATCAACGAAGCAGGGTACGGTGGCGATTCTATTCTATTAAGGTTCGCCCCCCCCCCCCCCGTCTTTTTTGTCATGAGAATTTCCTTTAGAATTAAGGTGGAAGATTTCTTTACAGAAAGAGTTGTCTTCTCGGAAAGTAAGCGTCGTGATGGTCACGATTTTCAAATATCTTTTTTCTGTCTTTGTTTCTCTGCTTCTTTCTTTTTTCCTTCACTCATTTACCTATTTATTTTTTTTTTTTAACTCCAAACTCACAGCTTTGGATCGAGATATCGTTCAACTCGTACAGGCATCATCTATAACAACGAAATGGACGACTTTTCTACTCCTGGTAAGAAAAACGCGTACGGTGTTGAACCGTCCGAGTCTAACATGATTGTGCCTGGGAAACGGCCCCAGTCCTCCACCGCGCCTTCGCTATTTTTAGATAAAAACGGAACAGCTCGTTTGGTGATTGGAGCGTCCGGTGGAACGAAAATAACAACCGCCATCTCTTTGGTAAGGTAGCAACAAGTTATTTTAGTGTGGTCCTATCGTGTTACCGATCTAAAGTCATGTATAAAAAGACAAATAAACCGAATCGCTACTGAGCTCGTTGCCCATGGTCTATCCCAGTGAAGTGTTGTTACTGACGTCACAAAAAAATTGTATCGACTAATTTGGCGAAAAGTTTTGAAAATGTGCAAATAAAAAAATGTATATCCAGAGAAAGATGGAATGAAACTTTTGCTGGTAACTAATTCTCACGATTTTCTTCGAAACATTAACAACAAGGACACGAAATGTTTTGGAAATTTACTACTTGCTGAGCTTTACAAATGCAACACATGCAAAGTAGATGATTGTTACATGAATATTTAGGTTAGTCCGGCGAATAAAGGTGCAAATAGACACTTAACCGGGAGTGTTCATTTGACTGGAGATAGCAAGCTTTTCCTGCGTTATATTTTTTCGATGGTGTTTTCCCGCGAGAACATGTTTTTGCAGATCAAACACAATTTTCAAAAACAGATCATAGGAATTAGAGTGTTGATTAAACTTCTCACTCTAAGTAGTGTTGATTAAACCTCTTACTCTAAGTAGCAACCAAATATGAACTTCTCCTTAATATATAGATTTAGGCAAGCCTAAAAGCGGAGCTCGCATTTTTTTTTTCCGCACGTCTCTTCAACAAAACTAAAGCCCCTACTATGGATAAAGTGCGTGTTGATATTGATGGATTTTCATTCGCAGCTTCTCCGTGTCCGTGTAGAGGACTGATTATAAGATAGTGCCCGTGGTACAGTTGGCCGCGCATGCTAAAAGTAGCACCTTGTACGGTCGGTCGTACGGTCGTACATTTAAATTTTTTCGGCTTGATGAGTTACTACTATTTTGTATAATTATGGAGCTACGCTCTACGAACTCCGCTATAATATCAATACATTTTTAAGATAGATATGTAGAGGTGAGAAAATTATCAACTAGGGGACATCTTTTTGATTTAACAAGAAGTTCTCTGATCCAAGATTTTAAGAAATGTATAGCTTACCGTTTGGAGAATTGATATTTAAATCTTGCAAGCGGAAGGGCTAATGTCTCACCAAAAGATGCCTTACCGTGTGTAATTAACTTCCAGGTTATGATGAATTACCTCTGGTTCAACCGTACCCTTTCGCAGGCTGTGGTTGATCCCAGGCTCCACCACCAGCTAATGCCGATGTATATCCGCATAGACAAAGACTTTCAAATGCCCCTTGCCATCCAAGAAGGACTGCAGAGGCTTGGGCACAATGTCAGGAATATCAGTGGTTACGCAGTGGTGCAGGCTGCGGCCACAAATGATGACGGGACACTGACAGGAAAATCTGACCCCAGGAAGAGTGGGTGGGCTGCTGGGTACTGAGATTCTGCCGTCACGTGACTGTATATATTAGTATGAGTGAAGACTAAACAGGTTCCAATTAGTTTTCAGGCTCGCTTTGTTGTTTTTGTGTAGATGTGATTGTTTTACTTCTAGTAACGAAAGTTTGAGGGGCAATCGTAGCACAGTAGTGATATTTAACTCACTTTTACTTTTTCAGATAGCCTCACGCAGATTTTTAGAAGTTCACACTCACAATTACTTCTTTTCCACTTATACTCAAGCATGCTGTGTATCTAAGCTGATGCAATCCTTGGTACTTTCAACATACTATACATAGCACTCAGGTTGAAGCTTCGTTGCCTTCAAGTTTACATATTTTCATTTTGAAGGATTCGTTTGGTGATGATTTTTACCCTTTACCATCCTGTGCATTGTTGACAAAACGCTACTTTTTGCGACATGGGTGTAAGTTTTCTTATTTAATCACTTTCAAATGACATCATCCCCACAATGCATCCTGGTTGAGCGTAGCCATTCAAATAATGTCTACGTTCATGGTTTAAAAGAATGGGGATTTAGCAGTGGACATTAAACGAGGTGACTCTTCTTGTCCACTGTTTCTTACTTTAATGAAAGGTGTGAGGATACGGATGAAGTTTGGGAACCACAACGTAATAAAAACAATATTGAATATCACCCGATATCTTTCTGTGTATACCGGTGAGATATGGACCCCTCGAGATAAATGGCAAATCGGCTGGCATAACTGGAAAAAATACAGAAGGGGGGGGGTGGTTGGAGGGGATGATCTTCAAAATGGAAGTTGAGATAGGAGAGGACAAGTCAAAAAAGGAAATTTTCTGGAGGGGGGGGCGCATTGGCAAATTCGATCAGGAGGGGTGCTGGTCCGAAAAAAAATCTCCAGATTTGAGATCTCCAGAGGTTGGCATCTCTGATACCCACTGTGGAATTAGTCATGTTGGAATTCTTTCCTCGCTGTATCAACATGTAGTCGAATGAAACAAAAAATCTCTACCACCTACGCTCCACTGAGATTGCATAACAGGTCAGTGCTTTCATAAGCCTGGTACAAACAAATAATTATATTGATTTTAGTGGAAGTTAACTGTTATGGTTGATGTCTTAGCAAATAAGGCATAGTTTTTCGGGAAGTGAGTGATGTACCTAACCTGAACAGCCTATGGAACTTAAACACACCACATTACAAACTTTTTTGAGGGGACGTGCATTCAGGCTGCAATAACCATGTTATCTTCCAAGAGTTATAAAAAAACCATACAAGCGAGTAAATCGTGGTGTTTGAAAACCCTTTAATGTTTTTTATAAAGCCAAGAGATTATAGTTAATAATCTCTTTGATAAACCAAAAAAAGATGCTAAACCCAAATGAAACCTGTAATTTAATAAGCTTTGTGTACAAAGTCTCAGTTTTCCTTTTCGCTTTTTGTGCTGCCTTTTTCAAAATTTTATGAACGTTTGACTTTTTCTTTGCATGTTTTGCATAGCAGCTGTTGTTCCTATCTTACCTGTTATAATTTTTCGCGGGAAATCGGCGCCGGCCGGCTGATATCGATCCTCTTGCGCATGCCCTTCGATTGACCGCTGTGAGTTTTGAATCAGTGACTGTCGCTGGTGTCCAGTTCGTATAATGAAACATTCTCTTCTTGCATACGAATTTGCGATATGTAACCGGAAAACGCAGCAGTTTATCGTTTGCAAAGGGAGAATTAAGCAATATATACAAAGCGTTTAACAAGATATTAACCGTAAGCACGAGGTGAGTGGAATTCATTCAGAAATTTGATTACCTGTAATCACTCGTAGCGTGTACGTAAATAACTGTGCATGTAGTACTTCTAACCTATTTATATTTATATTTTCTAATTCTCTATGGTAATGTTGTCCTGATATTTATGGTGTAATTTTGTTCGGAGGATTTTTGAGTGAATGTCGCACAACACGGTCAGTTTTTTCGAAATTACATCAGCGACAAATGTTTGGCTTAACACTGCCTGTAAGGTTTCAGAGCTTTTTTCTTTCTCTCTTTCCCATGGGGCCACGAGTAGCTACTAGTCTCTGCCGTGACTTGAAAGATTTCCATCGAAGAACAGACCACACTTCTATTCAAGGAAGTTGTGACTTAGCTAGTAGTCACACATTCTTGTGGTGAACGATTGAGTTGAGATGTCACGCAACGTGACATCATGAGAACGGCAGCGAAGGAGACTGTCGTGAAGTGCACTAAAATCCGCGCAAGATCCCACAAAAGTTGATCGATTTCAAGCAATATGCTATTAAGAATCACCAGGCATGACCTCTGATTGATATTAAATATCCTATTAAATCGAGCCTGTTTCAAGACGTTTTAAGCCGCACCGCATTTAAGCGGTTGGTTGCCAAAGTCCCAAATTTTTTTCGCCTTTTAATGAGCCCCTCATGAGTACTCATTGTTAAGGTTTTTATTGGCAATATCCTCCTAGAATTAGATTTACAAGATTCCAAGGCTCTAGCTCGCCAAAAAAAAACTATCCGTACTCGAGAAAAACAACTTCTCTCGAAGGCTTAAACTCAATTCTAATATATATATGCTATGCGTGGGTAAATAAACAGTGTTGAGTTCGTAAGGTTCAATTCTTAAGGTTGGCAAGGATCAATTCTTAAGGTTCGCAAGGTTCAATTCTGAGATTCGTGTTCCGTTTCTTCACACATTTCTACTTTTTGAATATTTACAAGCGGTTATTACAATGTTAATTAAGAAATTACAACATTTACTACTATATAAGAGACAGTCCATTCACTCTACTGGTTTAACTCCGGAATAGATTCCCAACTCAGCATAGTGTTGGAAATATTAAGGAAACTATTACAGCTGAAACCGGCAAGATCCTTATTTTGGATGTATCATTACTTGAAGCCAAATCTCTCAGTATTAACATGAGGAATAAATGAACTAAATTTTGTAGCTTTTGCAACGTTTTAAACTTGATATCATACGAAAGTTTAAAACTTGTTTAATAATTGATCTAATTAAGGTTATTGACTAGGCTTATTGACAGATCAAACGTACTTAAACGTTCAATCTGTGAAATTTGTGATGTTATGGGTGGCGTTGTAGTTTCATTGACCATATGATAAATAGCTTGTCAAAAGCAGTTTCTTGTTAAGGGTTTGATAACATTAATTCAAATTTGGTAAGTGTTCTCGTGTTTACTCAAATATCTGAATGCAATGGTTCAAAAAGTCAGAGACAACTATTCGACCATCGCTGAGCACTGCAGTTGAAAGAGGAAGAATAAATTCTCCTTCACAATTTCCTTTTGATCCAAGTTTTGTCACAAACTTCCCACTTAGCTCAAATACCTGTACTCTGTGATTTCCATCACAGACTATCCGGTGTCCTGCCTTGTCAACTGAAAAACACTTAGGGAAATTGAACTCGCTATTCCCCTCCCCCATTTTTCTAAATTTGAACAAAAACGATACCATTTCTATCAAACACTTTGATATAATGTTCTTCGTGGTCTGACACTATGAGATATTTGTCATATTGTACACAGTGAAAGGGGAAGGTAAAATAACCCTCACGCCCCAATTTGCTTAAATAATGGCCACCTTTCGAAAAGATCTTAACTGATTTGTTATACATATCAGCAACAATAATATTGCCTTCATTATCTACAGATAAGCCACGAGGAGTATTCAGCTGGTGATCAATATCGTCCAGTTTCTTTGGCAAAATAGCTGATCTTGTAACTTCCATCTTTGTCATCTTTAACTCGCACTTCCGTCGCAAAGTCATGCCCTTGTTAACTTTTAATTTCCACTGTTACTTGGGCACGCTTTTCATAGCATTGTTGTCCTGTTAAAACAAAGCTCGCTTCAATTCCAACGATCGCTTTAATGATTCATTTTCCTTCAGCAGTTGATTGATTCGCTTTGGTTTCGCTGATTTGGAAGGTTGTAAATACACGGCCGATCCTTTCATCGGTTGTCTTCGCCCTTAAGGATTCGTTTTCCTCGAAAATAAATTGACGTGGTCCTTCAAGGTCACAGTCACTTCTCGCTCATCATCGACTTCTTTCGGGATTATTGTGTTCAGAGTCTTATCTAACTTGGCAAGATTGTTTTAAAAGCGTTTCAGAGTTTCCTACTGCTGTTTCGATGATTTTAACTTTGTGTTTAATCTCGACCCTTTGTTTTCGTTAACGTTTCAGGGATTGTTGCACCTTTTGATCTGTTTCATTAAAGATTTCCTGTTTGTTCGCTTCGATAACAGCGATCATGCTTTCTGCAAAGTGTTGCGCGCTTCTTTTTACTTTGGCGACTTTTGCTTCGATGTTGTCACACCTTTCGTCAAGTTGAGAGATTTTGTGTCTCATCCTTTGCGCTTTTGCCTTTCTAGACTCAATCGCGGACATGACTTCCAATTTATTTTCATTTTCCGCTTCTTCTAAGAGTACCTTAGCATGTCCATCGTGAGCGGTTACAACGCATGAACTGCAAACGGTTTCTTCTTATTTCTTACAGAAAAATTCCAGTTCTTTCTTTTCGTGGCCTTGTCGGGAACAAATCTTGGTCGTTTTAAGTCATCCTCGATGTCATGATCTTCAAAATCTTTCAGCGCGAGAACTCGGTGGTCTTTATTTTCTCGGAGTAAGTTATGCACAGTGATACACTCTTCACACCAGAACACACAGCACTGAAAACAGTAGAAACCTTCTACTTTTCGTCTGTCGCAGTTTCCGCATTTGACTCCAGTGGAACTGCACTCCTTTATGGCCAACACTTCTAGTAAGCTGTTGATGCGAAAGTTGGCGGGCAGATCTTTAAGGTTTCCTCCAGGGACTTGACTCTCCCTTCGACATGGACATGTTATGACATCATGGTGGCCGCTGTTTCTTTTAATTCCTACCAAACAGTGGAGGCAAAACCTGTGCAAACATGGTAGCTGTTTTGGTTCAGTAAATGTGACCATACACACAGAACAGGATAGTTCTTTATGAAGACTGGCGAGCAACGTTTTGATATCCATGATTAAAGGCTTGATAAGGCCTTCGCTTTATGTATCAAACACGCGTAAAACAAATCGCAAAGTAGCCTTACAATTAAAATACTATTAATATTAGTAGCATAGGAGATGGCGGTATGAGACCACTTTGAAAACCATCTCAACTATTCTACTTACCATTTTATGGAAATAATTAAAGGGAATAATTTTGAGAAAGTAATTTTATAGATATTGTTAAGAGTAAAATTTGCTCTAACACTAGTTGTCTTGTTGTCTCTTTCTTTATTCTCTCTTCTACACAAGTTATTACAACGAAGACTAGCTCTGATCTCCCGAGGAAAGTGTGAGTCACCGTTTATAAAGGTGACACTTACTGAGCTGTCAATCTCTGACCCTCGTCATGTTTTTACACTTAAATAACGAATCACGTTGGGCTACGCAAAACAGAGTTCGCATACTAAATAGATACCTTCGCGATGTTTACGCTTTACAAAATGTCTTTCTAACTTAAATTTCTTGGTCTTACAGTCAAGTTTGGGCAGAACAAAAACAAGATTGACAGTATAAAAATTATAATAAACTTAGTAACAGAATTAAAATCATACTTCAAAAGGTATCCTAAACGAAAATAGTCCTTGAAGGCTGTTGCATAACAGCAGAATAAACACAAAATTCGGAGAAGAAAGGGCGTACCCAAGGTAGCGCCTCTAAAAGAGCTACGTAGTCGTATAAGTTATCTAATTACAAATTCAGTGCGGAAGATGAAAAATACTACATGTTTTCAGCTCAAGATGATTTACAATTGCAATCATAAAATTTGCTATTCTCACTAAACTATTCATGAACTGTTTGTCGAATTCTGGCCTAAGTTCCCAGATAAGCCGTAAAAGCTCAAATTTTGAAGAGTTGGAAATATCTAAGGAATGAATGATAGCTATGAAAAGTGCTTTTCTCTAATTATATTGTTACTTGCAGGTACATCACTATGGATGATTGTATTTGTCGAGTTGGGTCTGATTTTGGTAGCTTGTGAGGATAATAGTCTTAATATAAAACGTAAGTACTGAAAAGTGCAAAGTGTAGACCTAACAGAGCTTACTCACAAAGTTGACTTACAGACTAACCTTAGGTAAACCCCAGCTTGCAGAGCAAGCGTCATTATTTTACTTTTTTTTCTTGGCAACAGGCTAAATTAATCCAAATTCTCTGCAACTCAAAATTTACTGCTTATATTAGGGCTTTAATAAAGTGCCGAAGGTTACTGTCTGAAAGCTTTTACTTTTGTCATTGTCATGGTCATTTAAATTTCTTAATGCGATGGTTATTAAAGTCAGACAAAATTCGACAAAATTATAAGGTTATTTTTATGGTTTTAATGACCATGCATGCAGAAGGTGGTTACCTTTGAAAGATTTAGTTGCTGGCTGAAAGCTGTTACTTGTGTGACTACAGGACAGAATTAACTAAAATCGGTCACGTTCCAGCAATGTCTATCTATTCAAATATATGGATGCGATTGTTACCGAAGTCGGACACAGTTATTCGACCATCGCTGAGCACTGCAGTAGAGACAGGGCGATTAAATTCTCCCTTACTCTTTCCTTTTGATCCAAATTTTGTCAAAAATTTTCCACTCAGCTCAAATACCTGAACTCTGTGATTTGAAGAATCACAAACCATCAGGTGTCCTGCCTTGTTAACTGACAAACAACGAGGGTTATCGAACTCCCCATACCCCTTCCCCTTCTTTCCAAATTTGTACAGAAAATTACCATTTCTTTCAAACACTTTGATACAATGTTCGTACGCGTCTGACACTATCAGATATTTGTCATATTGCACACAGTGAAACGGGAAGGTGAAAGAACCTTCACCCCCTAATTTTCGTAAGAAGTGGCCAAAAGGAGAAAAGATCTTGATCGATTTATTTTTTGAATCAGCAACAATGATATTTCCGTCGTTGTCTACGGATAGACCAAGAGGATTAGATAGCTGGTAATCAAGATTTCCTTCACCACCAAAATGCCTTGTTTGCTTACCCTGCTCATTGAACAATTTAACACAGTGGGCTCCATTTTATTTTGTATTTGGTGAGTGAAAATGAAACATTAAAGCCAAATCAGTGTCATTATTTAGAAATACCTCAACTCATAGCCTACAAATGCTCTAAGAAGGCCTCTGATCAGCACTACAAAAAACCCAGCGGTTTAGCGAAAGGTATTTTTTTTCTTTGAAAACCCAGAACCCATCATAGAGCCAAATGATGGTGTTCTCACCTAGATATGACAGTCTTTTTTAATTAGAGATGCTTGAATTTCCTCTGATTTACATTTTTTTCAGGTCATATTTCTATACACACTATACTCCCAAGCATGCAAAATCTCTATATTTTATCAGGCCCATTTTTTAATGCAAGATGAAGTGAGCTTAACGAAAACGACCGTTAACCGAAGATCTATGGCTAAACTTTTGATAGCCGAGCTAGCTCTTGTAAATAATCATGATTACATCAGTAAAAGAGCAGGATGATACATACAAGTTGTAGTTGATAGCGTCCAGGGCCCAGTTGTATTAAAAGCGGATAACACTATCCAACGGATAAATCGCTACCCAGCGGATAAGTGATGGCAAATCGTATAGCGTTATCCACCGTATAGAGCTCTATCCAGTAGATAGCGCTATCCAACCTTCGAACAACCGTGGCCAGCGGACTTGTGATCCATCCGATTTCCGTGGTACGTTAGAACTGAATAAATCAAATCATTCGGCAGTAAATAAGAAATCCACAGTAAGGAGAACTGGATAACAAATATTTTGTGTTGCAGTTTATATGAAACATGCCATATTGGGCGTGAGATTGAGAGGACTGGACCAAGTCGAGGAGTCACGCAACTTTCACTGAGTTTTGAGTAACGCGGGTTTGTTGACCATCACTGGCGGCAATCACAGGAATTTTCTAAATGTAGAAGAGGTTCATAATACGTCGCCTTACGATTAGCACTACCTATGATTTCAACGTCAAAAAAGTCACACAGTGACTGTAGTTGACTGAGTTTTTGCTTTTGCAACACCATGGTTAATCTTGCCTATTCACTAATACACAGTTTACTTAGTTCAGATTTTGCAAGTAAATCCGGTATTGCAAACGAAATTCGATTTTGAGACGACATTACGGAGCCCATTTTCAACCGTTGGCATCATTGCAAAGTCATAATGCTCTCTTAAAAATTTTTATTTCTATTACGGTTGACCTATATTTTTTATATCCAACAAGTGAATTAATCAAGTTTCAGATTACAACTAGCAATCGGCGCGGAGGTAAGGTTTTTAAACATTTCAATTTCATCCAAAAGTTGCAATGCAGAAATTTTGCAAAGACTTTTCAAGTTCACATGTCGTCGATGAAACAGACAAGTAAAGGAAACCTGTCGACTTTTACCTGTAATTCTGATTGCGTGATAAGAGCTGATGTAAAAAAAAACAGCGAACAATTCTTATCGTTATTTTTCGATGAAGGGATTATTCCTATGAATAAACTGCACTTTTTCCTTCCAAAATTAGCATAGTAATCAACTGTTTTGCTCTTCTTTTGAACAAGTTGTTAAATGTTTGGCTCACTGCGCAAGAACTCAGTAAATTACCGCGGGAAATCTTCGGTATTTTGAAGACGATGACTCTAAATCGTGAAAGCCATTTGCCACATTTATGCGCGTATATAAGCCCTTTCTGATATTTTGAATTACCTGTACTTGTAGCTTTGGTATCACCCGGTTTTCCTCTCGTCCCGGACACACCTGACCCCTTGTACTTGTGTTTTAACCAAGCAGTCATGTCATTATCGCAAGACAACAAAGGAGTCATTCGTGTTTCGTGCAGAGCCCATGACGCGGCACCGCACTGATCATTTACCCCACCGAAGGAACAAAGCGCCATCGTAAAATTATCCTGAAACTTCTGATCTCTACACTTTTACTACTTGCTAAGGACACAAATATCTTTGCTTGGATAGAGGGGGAGGAATGGAAACTCGGTCCAGTCCCAATATTCTCACGTCCAAAATGGCAGGCCTGATTGACATCGTACCGTGTCTCGTGTGGAATATTTCATTTAAACAGCAACAGTAATTTTCTTCCATCCAGCTCTTCTGAATGCGGATTCCCTCTTTGTTGGATGGTTCCATTTATTCAGTTCTAAAGTACCTAAGATCTCTGATGAATCACAAGTCACCTGGACGGTGCTCACTTCGGCACATAAGCTATGTATGCATGGTCATGCTCGTTTAGTGATGGGTATTTGCAAGAGCTATTCAGCTTATTCTAAGGTCAGACGTAGATCATCTTCTAACGATCGTTTTATTGTAAAGTCACTATATTTTCAATTAAAAAACGGCCGGACAAAATATAGAGACTTAGCATGCTTGAAGTAAAATATATATGGAAATATGGCCTAACAAACATAAATCAGAGAAAATTCAAGCATCTTTGAAAAAATCATGAATCATTTCATATCAATTTAAGTACCTTGTTTGTGTATTTGGATGTGTTTGGGCTAGAGTAATTTAACACAAATGAATCATTGCACAAACTAAACTTTAAAAAATGCTTTTTGAGCAAAAGTCTATTAACCCTTTCACTGCTAGGAGTGATTAGTACAAGAGACAGGTGATAAGTTGCTGAAAATTGTGAAGACAGGATAGTTTTGGATTAAGCACCAGTCATTAGGAATCAGAACTATAGCTAACAGAAATAGGTAATTGTATCAGTGAGGAAATTAAACTCCATCAGTGAGCAAAACAGGATTTGTCCTTACAACAGCCTTAATCCCTTGACTGACAGCTGGAATCTGAGAGCTCAACCTCCTTACAAGGATCTCTCCTCTCCATGCTTACTCTTAGAATGGAAAGAATTAACCCTTTAACTCCCAGAAGTGATCAACACAAAACTTCTCCGTACATGTATAATATCCTTACCTTATCTAGTAAGCAGGTAATGACAGAGAATATTCACACTTATCTAGTAAGGTTGTTATCTTGATCTAACATCAAATTCTTATAACTAACTTACAGGGAAACGTGTTGTAGCTAGAGGGTAGAATTGACTATCAGATCTTGGGATTTAAAGGGTTAAGAAAAACCCAACAACAAAAAAATTGGCTTGTGACCTGGCTTACTAAAAGTGATTCTTATTATTTCATTTACATCAAGGAAAGAGGCCACTAGAAACTCAATGACACTGTTTTTTTTTTCACTTCAGCTCAGCCTGATAAACAGAAAGTCCTGAACAGGGGTTCACCTAACTTATGGGTTGAGGCTCCTCAGAAAGCTACAAGCACAGGTAGGCGAATTTTCCTATTTGTGAAAGACACAGCTACTTAGGGTGAGCCTCTTGGTTTATGTATTCAGTGGTGGAAATCCATTACCTATGGAGGATCTTGCATTTTTCTTGAAACTGTTTGTGAGGGCTGTGGAAAATTCACTAGTTATGAAATGTAAAAGATATTACATGGCAATGCAAAGTTATGAAATTTCTCTTTGAGTGTTGAGATATTTTTCTACACAAGAAGAGAAAGTTTGTTTCTCCAAGCAGCCATGTGTAGTATTCAATTTATTAATTATCAACACCAATGAAATATCAATACAATGAATTACAATGAAAGGTGCAATTTTTATATGTAATTATGGCAACAGTGATATTTTCACATGTGAGGATGACATGTTATCTTCAAGTTCTGTTTTTGCAAGGATGCTTTTGTGCAGCGGCAAGTGCATATTGTTTAGAAATTGCCATATGGCTGACTTTTAGTAAACATTCTGGTGGGTCAACTTGTAATTTTGAAGGATGGAATGACAGAATGGTGGGATGGCAGAAATTTACCCAAAATCCTAAAAGATGGAACGATGGAAAATTACCTCAAATCTTAAAAATTCATTGAGGTTATTATTATCTTAGCTTTCCTTTATAATAAATGTGGTGGATTTGCAACCTCCCTGAATAAATTGGTCATAGATCAGTCAGAAAGTTACAAATCACTCTTCTTTGTTTTTGTCAATCAATTACTAAACAGCAAATTTGAAAATACAATCACAAAAAATTTAATAACACATTTCTACCGTTTGATTATTTACAATTTTACATGACATTGTAAATTAAGTAACTACAGAATTTATTACTATTGTCATAAAACAGATCATTTGCTCCACTGGTTCAACCCGGGAATAGGCTCCCAACTCAGCTTAGTGTTGGAAATATTTAAGGAAATAATTATAGGTGTAACAAGATCTTTATCTGGGATGTAGAATTAATTGAAACTGAACCCCTCAGTGTGATTAATGAGGAAGTAGAACTGAATTTTGTAGCCTTTTATTCGTATTTAACTTACTATCAAACAGAAGTTTTGTAACCAATTTAATTATTGACCTAATAGAGGTTATTAAATAGGCTGACTGACAGATGACAGTTAGTTTACTGCACAATCTCTGAAATTCATGATGTAATAGGTAGTGTTGTAGTTTCAGTGACCATTCAGAAGATTCTTACATAAAATATAAATCGCCTGTCAAAAGCAGTTTCATGTTTAAGGGTTTGAAAAAATTAATTCAAATCTGGTAAAGCATAGTGATGTGATATCTATTCAAATATCTGAATGTGATGGTTGTAAAAGTCAGACACAACTATTCGACCATCACTAAGCACTGCAGAAGAGATAGGGAGATTAAATTCTCCCTTACTCTTTCCTTTTGATCCAAATTTTGTTATAAACTTTCCGCTCAGCTCAAATACCTGAACTCTGTGATTATGTGCATCACAAACCATCAGGTGATCTGCCTTGTTAACTGACAAACAATGAGGGTAACTGAACTCCCCGTCCCTCTTTCCCTTCTTTCCAAATTTGTATAAAAAATAACCATTTTTATCAAACACTTTGATACAATGTTCTTCATAGTCTGACACTATCAGATATTTGTCATACTGTATGCAGTGCAAAGGAAAGGTAAAAAAACCCTCACCCCAGAATTTACTCAAATAATGGCCGTCACAAGAAAAGATCTTAATTGATTTGTTATGGCTATCAGCAACAATAATATTGCCTTTACTACATACAAATAAACCAAGGGGATTAGACAGCTGGTGATCAAGATTCCCTTTACCACCAAACTGTTTCAGGTACTCACCCTGCTCATTGAAGCATTGAATACGGTGGTTACGGGCGTCCACGACTATAATGTTCTTGGTCTCATGTAGTGTTATCCCGGCTGGGTTATCAAACTCTCCCTGTTTATCACCCTTTCTACCAAACGACCGTAAGTAAGTTCCATCACTACTGAAAACTTGAACCCTGTTGTTACCGCGTTCAGTCACTGCAATTTCATCGCGTTCATTCACTGCCACTCCCCAGGGTAGGTTTAACATTCCAGTAGGCGAACCTTGTTGGCCAAAAGATAGCACGGGTCTGAATTGTCTGGGTTTCACTTGAACCGGAAATGGACTGCCTCGAACTTGTTCTTCATTCACTTTGACTACCGCCTTGAGTCTTCCACTTTCTTTGGCAAAATAGCTGATCTTGTAGCTTCCATCTTTCTTATTTTGGACTCGAACTTCTGCTGCACAGTCATGGCCTTGGTGATTTTTTATTTCCGCTGTTACTCGGTCACGCTTTCCGTAGCATTGTTGTCCTTCAGCATTTCTTGTTGTGAGAACAAAGTTCGCTTGAATTCCAACAATCGCTTCCGTGAGTCCTTTTCCCTCAGCAATCGATTTATCCTCTTTGGTCTTGTTGGAAAACGTACGAATACAGCCGATTCCTTCATCGTTCGTTCTTTTCTTCAAGGATTCGTTTTCCTCGAAAATAAATTGACGTAGTCCTTCAAGGTCACAGTCCTCTTCTTCTCGCTCATCATCGACTTCTTTCGGGATTATTGTGCTCAGTGTTTTATGTATCTGTGCAAGCTCTGCGTTTGTGCTTCGTTTTATTAGTGTTTCAGATTTTCCTACTGCTGTTTCGATGTTTTTGACCTTGTTTTCAATGTCGATCCTTTGTGCTCGCAAACTTTGCAGAGATTGTTGCGCCTCATGATCCGCTTCAGAAAAGATTTGCTGTTTCTTGGCTTCGATGACAGTAATCATGCTTTCAGCAAACTGTTGCGCGCTTCTTTTTACTTTTGCGACGTTTGCTTCGATGTTATGACAGGCCTCATCAATTTTAGATATTTTGTTTCTCATCTTTTGCACATTTGCTTTTCTGGACTCAATCGCGGACATGACTTGCGATTTCTTTTCATTTGCCGCTTCTTCTAGGAGTACCTTAACATGTCCATCGTGAGCGGTCACAACGCATGAACTGCAAACGGTTTCTTGACATTTCTTACAGAAGAATTCCAGTTCTTTCTTTTCGTGGCCCGGTCGTGAACAAAATGCTGGTCGTTTTAGGACAACCTCGATGTCTTGATCTTCAAAATCTTTAAGCGCGAGAACTCGGTGTTCTTTATTTGCTCGGATAATATTGTGGCCTGTAATACACTCGTCACACCAGAACGAGTAGCACTGAAAACAGTAGAAACTTTCTACTCTTCGTTTGTTGCAGTTTCCGCATTTGACTCCAGTAGAGTTGCACTCCCTTATGGCCAACACATCTAGTAAGCTGTTGATACGAAAGTTGTTGGGCAGATCTTTGAGTTTTCCTCCGGGGACTTGACTCTCTCTTCGACACTCAGGACATGTTATGACATCATGACGGCCACTCGTCCTTTGAATTCCCTCTAAACAATGCAGGCAAAAGCTGTACAAACATGGTAGCTGTTTTGGTTCGGTAAATGTTACCATACACACAGAACAGGATACTTCTTCGTGAAGATTGGCAAGCAACGTTTTGATATCCATGATTAAAGGCTTGATAAGGCCATCGCTTCACGTACCAAACACGCGAAAAACAAATTGCGAAGTAGTCACACCATTGAAATGCTATTAATATTGACCAATTACATGAGAGCTCTCCCTGGCATTTCAACATGCAAGATTTCTGAGAATCGTGTAAGTCTTCCTTTAATTCACGCATTCAAAGGCATATTGTGTAGTTGTGGACAGACATGTTTTTAATCAGATGATGGACATTTTCGGAAGAGTGGCTGACCTTTGGAATGGTCTCGACCAATTGCTCACTTCCATTGAACGTGTTTAAGAAGAGCGTGATTCTAAAGATGGTTGCCATTTGTTCTCAGGTCAGATCTTTATTTCTAAAAGTTGTGCGTAGAATGGGTTTATTGGAACCGGCCTTGGAAAGAGACCGTAACCCGTCCTTTTTTACAGAGAGAGAAATTTGTGTTAGACTCTATCTTGCTTTCATTTTCGTGGAGCTAAAAAATAAAACGAGAAGGACTCGTTTACCTTCATCTAATAATTTATCGATTCCAATGAAATCCATCAATTATCATACAAGTCCTGTTTTTAAGGAAGCGTTTTAAGTTTTAAACGGTGGAACCTGAAAATCTGTCGAAAGCTCTTGGGAAAAGTGGCCCAAACTTCCGGTTTTCGTCCACACCTAGTGGAGAAAGAGCAAACAAAATGGGATCCGTTTATTATTCATTGATGTTTGTAAAAAAGATTTTTTTTCCGTTTTTCTTCACTAATTTACTATGTGAAACTTCCTGCAGTCTCACAGCTTAACGTTTGAAAGTGCAAACTAAAACGCTAACTACACAAGCTATCGATCAGTTTTTGAAACAGGGCATGATGCATTACGAAAGTTTGGCGGTGCGCTAAAAGAACTTTCCGTTAGTCCTGGCAAGTGTGAAACACTACTTCCGTACTTACGTTTGCCGTAATTTGCTGTCGTCGGTCTAGCCTTTATTCAAATCGGTTCGAGGGAAATATTCCTTTGATACACAAATTTTTTACATTTGATCCCCAAAATAATTATAATTCTTCATGACAGTTAGATATATAAACTAAATGCACTTTCCTTTGGTTCTTTGTGTTTCGAGTGATTTGATGCGGTGTAAAGGAAGTTGGTCCCTCTTGCCACGGAATTAATTGTTTCGATCATTATTGATTTTGTTTATCACTTACTTACATTAACAGATATTACTTTTTGATTTAGGAAATAAGCTGCCGAATTACATTTTCGTTATATAAATTTGACTACGAGTCCCTCCTTTTGGCGGTCTGTCGCGTGAAAGATCTTGGACTTCTCGAACGCCTCACTCTTAGAGCTCACCGAGGCGCCCTAACATCACTTTTTTTTTTCACTGACAACTTTTTCACTCGCGCGACGGACCTCGCTGAGAAGGAGGGACTGCTCATATTCAAATCTATACAACAAAAATGTAATTCAGTATCTTATATTCTAATTCTTTAGGATAGGGCTTAAATCGTTGTTGACGTTTTTGTCGATTAATGTGACGCAAAAACGTGTTAATATAACGTAACAGTGCACGCTACATTTACGAATTCTGGTTATATTTATATCGGATGAACCATCTCTCTTTAATCTTCAACGTGACAAGAGTAGCGCAATAAAACTAACCGATAGTAATACCCAGATTTCAGTCATTATGCATGGGTGAATAACAACAAGCCGCTCAATGATTCTAATCAATAAAAACCAGGCGTGAAATACTACTTCGGATTTCACTAATATTGCTATTTAGTGTGATTAAGTAACTTCTTCATGGAGTCAGTACGGCGGTTGTGCAATCATTTGAAATATATTAGTCGTTAATCAGCCATCGAACACTGAAATTGTAGGAAAAGAATCACAGAAACGTTTATTGACAACTTTCCAGCTTAAGATGATTCCCAATTGCAATCATTAATATAAAATCATTAAACAAAAGTTACAAAGTTCAGCAGGATACGCAAGAAAGACGAACTCTTGCTTAAGGGCCGGAATCAGTTTGCCAATGTTCTATTTACTATGTCCAATTTCAAAATTTTTGTCTCCTATGGAATTTCAGCCAGCAATTATGAGGCACTTAGTCGTCTTGAAGGTTTACTTGACCTCACTTATGCATTTTCAGTTCCTGTATTCAATTTTCAATCGCTCTCGCTTCGCTGATTCATTAGGATTCAATTGAGTAATAGCGGTCGAGCAGTATCAAATAGCTCTGATACAAAAATACGATTATCGGTTTGTTTAACGTATCTCTAGATGTTCATTTAATTTCCCCTTTTAAGGTTTACTAGAAATTAACTATAAAAAATAAAAAGATATTTAGCATAAACAAACGTTGCTTGGTGCGGATCTTTTTTTTCTCCTATCCTTCACCATTCCTTTTCCTCTCCCTTAGGCTACCTGCTCTTCTTCCTCCTCTTTGGCGGCCACTCGTCTTTTGAATTCCCTCTAAATAGTGAGAGCAGAAGTTGTGCTAAAATGGTAGCTGGTTTGGTTCAGTAA